TCCCCCCACTGTAAAAGCAGAGCCAAACTTTATGTCTTCATGTCTACCTGTGATCCTGTGAAGGAGGGACGTGTCCTGGACCTCGGCAGGAAGAGAGGAGATGCGCTGCCGCAGCACCGAGTCGCTGTGGGCGGCGTTTTCGAGTTCCTGCAGGGCTCGAATTAAATCTGCTGTCTGTGGGTGAAGAACGATACAAATCAGGAAAATAAAAAGTAGGGAGAAGGAGCAAGAATGGGCTATTTAAGAGACAACAATAAGAAATAATGAAAGTCAGATTTATAAACAAATAGCAGGACAAATACAGTGCAGTTTTGTCAACCTCCTGTATTTAATGCTGCGATTTTCAAAGACGTCACCTGTGGAGGATCAGCTGGGGAGCTGCGGGAGGCGAAGCCCTCATCATCAGGGTGGATCTCCTCATAAGATCTTTTCTTAGGTTTCTTTTCTCCATCTACAATTTTTAGACAAGAAAGACAAAAACACAGAAAACAGAGAAGATATCACACTCGGGAGAGATTGCTCCGTATTCAACTACACCCCAGCGTAGTGTCTTGATAATGTTACGATTCAAAACCTACGTTGTTGCTGAACCCAAACAGGCTGGTGTTGAACTTACAGAGGACCTCTGAGAGCTGCTCCAGCAGGTTGTTGTCATACACCGCTCTCTCCTGCCAGATGGATAAAACCCGACCTAGCTGTTTCTTGCAGCCCTCCTCGCCCTCCCTGATCGGGGAAAACACCCGAAACAAACACAGGACAATACGGGACCGATAAGCCTTCAATATCCTGCTAATTCTGCTAGGTAAAAATCAAGCCTGACCTGTTGACATGTTTGAATGCTTCAACGATGACCGGCGCAAAGTCCTGGGTGAACTCCGGTCCTTTTCTCTTGCTGTTCTGAATGACGTCGTTGGCCAAGTAGAGGAAGGTCAGCTTGCGCGATACCTGAGCTGCACACACACGTTGAAACACAAGCGGCGGAGAATGTGGATGTGACGCACAAAACCGACAGAAGAGCTGTCCGCTTTCGCTCCTCTGACATTTGCTCCTCTTGCGGTTTATCGCTTCGCAGTCAGTAAGGAGATTTCTTACTGATCGCCCGCCTCCAATTAATATCCACCAGCAGAAGACCACTCGGTGGATTTGACTGAATCGCGGCTCCTGAGCTAATCTTCCGAAGTCGATTGGCCCAAATGAGGATCGCAACCACAATCGAGGGAAATGACGTGCAACGTAAAATCTTCTGGCTTAATTCTTGGTTTCTGGTACGTATTGGAAACAGGTTACGAGTGAGAAACAAACAGTAACAGCCAATTCAAAAAGGGGGAATTAATTGTTTTGACTTTTTCACCTAAGCAATATAAAAAAGTCAAAGAAATTTATTACAGTTAGAATAAAATGCAATCTAAATGCATTTTGTGGATCTTTTCACTCTACTATAAATACCAGATTTAATTCCTATTCAAATGAAGAATAGTAAAACACTATTCTTAACATAATACCATAACATTATTTTTGAGTAGCACATATTATGAATCAAATCATAAATCTATTTCCTATTTTAGATCTTGTAATTTGGTTATATTCCTTTTTTTTTCTTCTTAAAGTCAGACAATTTGAACGTGTAAAAAAAAAAAAAACAGGAACAAAGAGTTTCTATTTCTGGACAAGTGATGTTTTGGATGCTGTTGGTCTGAGGTGAGCAGACATCTTGAGAGAGAACCACCTTTATCCCCGAGAGCTTTTCAGACACAGCTCTCCGTTTTCCCCCCAGATGCAGAGCCCTAAACTAAAACATCCACCTGAGATGTCATTAGGATGCTCGGCTCGTCCCCTGCTAATAAGTCCGCCATTAATAGCAGCGCCTAACATGTCTGCAACCCTTTCTTTGTGTTGGTTTAGATACCATGACAACTAAATTACTCAATAAAACTAGAAGTAGTTTGCTTCCATCGGTGACACAATTAATTATTATCAGAAATGATCATTGAAGATTCTCTAGCCTTGTTGCGTTAACTGAAGTATTTCAAGACAATCGTTAAATTCATCAATGACAAATTTTCCACAAGTGGCAGGCAAAGTGCAGCTGATTAACCTCTTAGAACTGAAAAAAGGGCCAATTTTCAGGCCAACTGTGCCTGAAAATTGATTTCTACTCACATTTTTCTGCTCAAATTATTTTAAATCACATTTATTTATACAAGTAAACTGACAAGAGGTGACTTGTTTAAACTTACATTTTAGTAAGTGTAGTACATACAGTATATATATATATATATATATATATATATATATATATATATATATTGTGGTAGATGTAGCAATACCAAGTGATTGCAACATCAGGAAAAAGGAGCACGAGAAATTAGAGAAATACCAGGGCCTCAGGGAGGAACTGGAGAGGGCCTGGAAGGTGAAGACCACAGTGGTGCCTGTGGTCATCGGGGCCCTCGGGGCAGTAACCCCCAAACTGGAGCAGTGGCTACAACAGATCCCAGGAACAACATCAGACATCTCAGTCCAGAAATGTGCAGTCCTTGGCACAGCCAAGATACTGCGCAGAACCCTCAAGCTCCCAGGCCTCTGGTAGAGGACCCGAGCTCAGAGGATAAGAACCACCCGCGGTGGGTGAGAAGGGAATTTTTTTATTTTTATATATATATATATATATATATATATTATATATATATATATATATATATATGTATATATATATATATTTTTTTTTTTATAAAAATAAAATTGTATTTTAGGAATGTTTTGAAATCTTGATTGGAACCTTTTCTCTGTTTTGTTTTTGAAGTCTTATCTTTTGTGGCGCTTTTTCTGTCTTAATTGTTGTCACAGCTATTGTAAAGCAACTTAATAAAGAATATTATTATTGCTATGCATAATGGCAATGTAGCATAGTTTGATCACAGGGGAAAATAAAATGTTCTGACAACAGATGATCAAGTTTTTGTTTGCCTTAAGTGTCCAACAGATTAGATTAAAATGTATTACATTATTTTTTTAACTAGCAATTTAAGAAACATAATTGGAGTAAGGCCTTTCTTATCATTACCATTATTATTGTATTATCATGTGCAACATTACTTATGGTATCAACATATCATACATTAATCCATTAGGAAACCATAATATTTGTTGATAAGAAAATATTTATTATCGGAAAAACAACTACAGCTTTTATGTGTACATAAATATACATGCATATGTTTATTATTAACTATTATAATTATTTTAATATTAGTTAAAAACGTATATTAATTGGTTATATGTTCCTGAAAGAGAACACATGAGGATCAATGAGGATTTTGGCTCGTTCGGAAACCTTCGACATATAAAGAAATGCATTCAACTAAATATTTACTGAATCGAGATTGACAAAGTATCCTGACACTCAAAGCTAACTCAGAAAACTAACTGCACTTTGCTTGAACACTGGCCCGCTAGCAGCAACAAGGCTAACCGTGAAATCTGCCTTTTGACATGAACATAGGAAGCTAAAGTAGTTAAAATAGGACGCTAAAGAGTTAGCCGGAGCTAGGCTGCTCCCTGCAGCCACATGCAAAGTGTTGAGGACGAGCAGCGTGGTCTGCTGTTGTTTACTTCGAGCCCACATCGACCTTACCTTTCCTCAGTTCGCTGAACCACACCGTGACAATCGTCTTCGAGTGTTTTCTGTGGTGGATGAGCCACAGCGACAGCGTTTGCACACTTTGCTGAGAGTTGCTAAGCTCGGATAGTTTTTTCTCTAATGCCGCCTCAGAGAAAGCAGACATCTCGACGAGGATAAACAAGAGAGTGAGTGGAGACCACTGCGGGAGGCAGCTTCAGCTGAAAACCGTCTTCTGCTGCAAATTAGGAGGCCAGTTGGTGACTTGTCGCCATGTACGTGAACGCTTATGCGCTGCGGTGACTCTCTGAGCAGTTGTTCATGCTAGCCAGTCACCGCCGCCCTCTCGCTGGAGCTCTCTGGGGTTACCGTCTCCTGCTGGGGGGGCTCCGCAAACACGCTTCCGGGTTGTTTGAACGTTGCGTTCAAGGGCCATCGAAAATTGCACATCTTTCATGAATCTTCTTTCGTCATCTTCCTAGAATATTGGACTAAGTCTTTTTTTTTTCCCAAAGTCATTTAAAAAAAATAAAAATAAATAAATCACAGTTTTTCTTTTTAAAAGAGGCTTTAGGCAAAAAAAAAAGGTAAGGTCATTATTTTAGGAAAGAGACGTTACACAAATGCAGCTTCAGTTCATATCATCTCAGTGCATTGTTTTGGTTTCTAAAAGTGATTAAATTAAATACCAGTTACAAAATGTGAAAATACTATCAGACAGCAGAGGAAGACGTAAAAATGAGATATTGAACTGCAGTGGCTAAAAAATGGAAAGAGTTGGATTACAGACTGCAGTTAATGATGTTCCAGTTATTTATCGAAGGCAACTGAAAAAAAAGAAGAGATTTTAGCCTCGATTTAAAGAAACCTGGAGTTTTGTCAGGGCAGATGATATAGAAGAATGGCAGCTTTTAATAGGTAAAGTTGTGCTTGAAATCATTCTTTGTTTGCCATTGGTTATCATGCTGTCATCGCTGCTTTACATCAAAAGAGCTTTGTAGAGAAGAAGATTAAAACTAATTAGTTGACACTATTTTGAAGGAAAGAGCTCCAATTTCCCAACAGAGTCAAGTGTAAGTGCTAGAACTACCTTCAAAAGATGTTGCATCTACAGGATCAGGTTGCCAAAGAAGCAGGAAGGTTTGAGCATTTCAGCATGGATAGTGAGATGGATATGTTTGGAGGCTTGTGTTGTATTAAGACAGGACTCAAAACAGAGTACTGGGGAGAAACCACTTCTCTCCAATGCTGAGGTCCCCGAACCTGATCATCAGAACCCACTTGATAGTGACTTTATATGACAGAGGCCACTGGTAAAAGAAAGAGCAAACTTAACACCAACGTTTCAATGTAAGGTTCAGTTTCTAGAGACATGAACACATTTAAGAAGGTGCCGCAGTTTATTCAAAACTGAAATCAAACATTTTATATTCAATACCAGAGTATTTCATTAATTCATACCAAACTACATAAGGTGATCACATTTTCCAACAGTTCAATTAGTATTTTCATTACAAAGGTTTAGGAAAGTGTTTCACTCAAAGTTATGACAACAGATCCCATACAAGAACTGACAAAGTAGATCTGCTCAATTCCTGTTTCTGGAAAAACAAGCCACTTCTCAATTTGAATTTATCTAGTCATTTTTGCTTTATGGATCTTAAAGCATCCTTTATAGGATTTCAGTCCCTAAAAAGGACGCTTTTGTTACATGTGGCAGTATGAAAAATGATCTAAAAGTAAAGTTTGGTTAGGAATAACTCCACTGATGCACATTCAAAATATACAGTGGCGGAAATCCAAATGCAAAAACTGGGATCATGACCATCTTCTTTGGTAAAACCAAATCTAGAGACGACCGTGCAAAGACTGATGCCTCATAATGTGAAAAACATAATGAACAACCCAGAGTATGATCTTCTCCAGAATGTGTGTTAGTCAGAGGCTTCTTGAGATGCAGCATCGTAACACAAACCATGACAACTGGTCTTTCATTTCCCTTTAAACTGAAGTGAATGACAGTAGCATTGACAGAATAAATTGAATCTGACAGCTCTAAAAACAAAAATTAAACAAATCTCAGCATATTGTTGCACGGTTAGGTTTGCAAAGCTGCACATAATAAATGCAGTTGTGATTCAACAGTAAAAAAAAAAAAAGAATGGCTCAAACAATACAATGCATTCATCTAGAAGAACAATCCCTAGTTTTAAGGGACTAGAACATGAGCAAACCATGTATAAACAGCAGCATTTTAAAAGAAAAAAGAAAAAAAACAATGCATCAGTTTGGCAAAAAATAAAAAGAGCTCAAAGATTAAAATTTCATATTGATTTGCACTCAGTCTCACATTTCATGTAAGATTTTGCTCATGTTCTGCTGTTTATTTGCACCAAGTCACATGCAGCACAACAGATCCATGACATCTTTCAGTCCTTCCACATTCATTTTCAATTCAGGAATCATTTGAAAAAAGAAAAACAATGGAAAACTAATATAACAGCCAAATTATTTCATTTTACATTAGGAGACTCCAATTTGTATTAATGGCAGGGTATATTTTTAAGCTAGTCTAATTTTAAACACTTGATCATGTGAGTTGTGAGTTTGTTTTTATTCAGATTGGAATGCCAGCGCTGAAATAAACTTCAGGACTGGGAGTGTAGATGCAGATTGTCCTGGCTGACTGAAAACATCAGTCTATCCCCAACCAGCTCCATCTGTGATTGGATACATAAAGTTTGAGTTGGTGCAGTGTAAAGCCCCGTGGTTGGTGCGGAGTACAGGACCCTGGCTGGTGCGGGGTACAGGACCCTGGCTGGTGCGGGGTACAGAACCCTGGCTGGTGCGGGGTACAGGACCCTGGCTGGTGCGGGGTACAGGACCCTGGCTGGTGCGGGGTACAGGACCCTGGCTGGTGCGGGGTACAGGACCCTGGCTGGTGCGGGGTACAGGACCCTGGCTGGTGCGGGGTACAGGACCCTGGCTGGTGCGGGGTAAAGCCCCATGGTTGGTGCGGGGTACAGGACCCTGGCTGGTGCGGGGTACAGGACCCTGGCTGGTGCGGGGTACAGGACCCTGGCTGGTGCGGGGTAAAGCCCCATGGTTGGTGCGGGGTACAGGACCCTGGCTGGTGCGGGGTACAGGACCCTGGCTGGTGCGGGGTACAGGACCCTGGCTGGTGCGGGGTACAGGACCCTCCATGGTTCTAGATGGAGCATCGTAACAGGCATGAAACATCAGCCTCTGCTGTATTGGACTGACTTCAAACGCTGAAGACGGGGTCGGGTAAAGCTGTGGAGCTGTTTGGTGATAGTCTGTAGTGAATTTTGTGTATGTCTGGGCTTGTCTCTGTTCAGTCTCATGAACTTGTCCTCTAGGATCCAATAAAAAGCTGCCCCTGTACACAGGAATATCTTCTGAGTGAGTTTCCACATTTATCCTGGCATCCTTTAAATAAGGGACTTGTTCCCACATCCTACCTGTGTGAAAACCTGCATCGCTCCAAGATGGATGCTGGTTTTGATGCTGCCGACCATAACTTGATATTATCTCATTGGTTTCTCTCTCTAGCCTCAAAGCTTCCCACTCTGCTACATCTGATGCTGAACCATAACAAATATTGGTGCCACAGCTCCCCTCATTGTCGTAGGAGTCAAAAGGTGAAAACTCCTCAGAGTGGGTTCCAGCAGCAAAATGTCCCCCATTCTGGGCCTGTAAATCTCCATATGTCCAGTCTTTACTTGAGCATTCCTGAGATCCCCTTAACTTATTTAGTCCAGGCAGGTTGTCACCAACATAACCATCTTCGCCCTGAAATACTGTGACTGTGATGTGCTTTTCTGACATGTAATCACCAGAGTCTGCATCTTCTTGGTAGAGCTGTTGCTCTAGTTGAGATGTTTGAAGCCCTAACTGTATATCAATAATGTCGACAGGGTTATCTATAGGAGACCTGGTTTCTAAAAGCTCAGAGGGGGATGTAGCTGGATCCGATTTAGATGAAGGTGATGCAGATGACTCAAACAGATGATCCGTATCAAAGGATCTCCTCTCCAGCAGAAGTTCACCTTTCCCTATAGGCAGGCTCACATTAAACATGGTATTAGTCTTTTTCATTTTCTTCATCAGTTTCATTCTTTTTGTTCGTTTTGGCATCGCTACAAAGCTTTTTTTTGGCGCATGTCGAGCTGTAATCTTGTTCAGACCTGAAACAAGCAAGACAAATTATGTAAGAGGGAACAGATGTGTTGGTTTTTCGTTTTTTTTGTTGTTCTTTTTTTTTTTTTTTTTGTTTTTTCAAAATGTCAGAGGAAAGACTCACCTATTACAGCTTTTCTTTTTTGTTGAAGGTTGGAATGATCCCCTCCTCTTGAAAGCATCTTTAAACCTTGAAAATAAGAAAAACACCAAGGATATACAGGAAAAATATGCACGTAAAAGGACTTTTAAAAAGAAAAATAGCGAGTTAGCAAAATGAGAGAAAACTACAAAAAGCCTGAAAAAGAAATTGCAATTCAAAACTTTACAAACAAAATGTTCAAACTGCATAATGATGGATTCACTTATTTTGTTCTCAGATGGCAAAGTGCCTTGTAAAAATATTCACACCCCTTGGAAGTTTTCCCACATTTTGTCACATGTAGTGCCTAATTGTGAAGCAGGAGGGGGAAAAAAACAAGTTTCCCCCTCCCCAATTTCTCACACAAATAAAAACACCATAGTATACATTTGTATTCAGCTTCTCTGAGGGCACTAACTTGACCCTTGACTAAAATAATGATCGAATGCATTCTGTTACTCTTGATTGGCTGTTAATTGGAAAGGTGTTTCATAAAACTAAGATTAATTAATAAATCTCCTAATCCACAGTTTATAGTGACTCCAACTTCTTAAGGGTTACATTGAACAATAGAGAAACTGTAGAGACTATGACTAATAGCTGTCCTATCAACAGGTTTTTCCACCTAAGTTGAGAATCTTGGCATCTCCTCCACAGTTACAAGATCTGTCTGCTGCTCTCCTTGGTGTTTATGAAGCCATTTGTTCTCTGACAAACCTCTGAGAAATTCAGAAAACAGATGCATTTAAACTGAACTTAGATCACAGTATAATAAACGAGGGACTTTTGAACTCAGATGATTTCACTAAATTTGCTTGCTTTTCAACCCGTAACACTAAACATCCTTCATGTCGCTTCCATTTCTGTTTTGAGCTACTTCTTGTTGATCAAACACATAAAATTCAGAGGAATTACAAGGAACCCTGCAGTATTACTTTTAAGTTGAAGAGGTATGAATATTTTTGAAAGACACTGCCTATAACTGCACAAGTCTTGCAAAGAGCTCTGACTTGTGCAAAAAATCAAACTAAAAGCTCCAAAAGCAGAGCAAAGGTTTCACGAATTTAAAGAAAATAGAAATGTTTGTATAAAAACATCACTGTAATCAAAAAAGCCTTCTGGCCCTGCAAGATATTCAATGGAGAAGATCGGTTTCACCCTGGATGTTTTAAAAAAAAAAAGAAATGCTGCATGGCATCCATTTTGTAAACCTGGAACCGCACAAGGTTATGGCAACACACACTTTCGCATCCAAGACTCAGAAAGATGACAAAAAGACAGACTGATACTTACAAGTCAGACTTTGAGAGCGAAAGAGATGGAGGGTTTATGGCCCAGCAAAAAAATGAAAGTCATCTCTACTTACACCAGTGGTAACTTTTGCCAGTGAGTTGACTACAGATGGACTCTGGTACATTTACTATCTGGGAACATGAGATATTGGTTGAGTGCAATCACAGCTTCAGTGCATTACATGAGGCCATTTTCTTTTCTTTTTCTTCTTTTTACACAACAACATAAAATTTGTACAAGTAGATATACAGAACACCTTTCAACCAGTGAAGAATAATCACTTTAACTTGTCATTTAAAAAAAAAAATCAGTATTAGATTATCTATGAGTGCCACAAATATGCGAACCTTTTCCTTGGGTTTTGGAGAACCCACCTTCAATATTATCATTCTTTTAAGACTTATATTAAAAAAAAGAGATTTTTTAACAACATTGGTGTTCAGCATTCATCTGACAATTGTCTCATGAAGGAAAACTAGAATACAAGACTTGCTCAGAACATTTTCTCTCTGTATTGACTTTCTATGGTAAAACTTATCCCCATGTCAGTCAGAGACTTTAGAAAGGCTAATAATAGTAAGTTATTTCAACATTTTTCTCAAAGCCTAATTGTAGATTGGTGGAACCTAAACTTTAAAGACATGTGCATTTTTCATTAAATAAATACATTGTAAAAAATATATATATTTTTAAAACACTTCTAAAACTAGAATGTCATCTTAAAGATTTATTTCTTTTGTTTATTTATTTCACAGATTTTGCCACTCACAGATAATATATACACAAACACTTAAAGATCTTTTTTTTTTTATCTCACTTGTTTTGTTGTCCTTACCCACTTTAACAACTATTGTTAAAATCTACCATCTTAGTACCAAGTTCATTTCTTAAAAGTTTTAAACATGGAGCAAAAAACAGCAGAATGACCTGCACCTTGAAGAAGCAAAAATACCTTCATCTCTCCTCTGCCCTCCTCTTCCTCCACTTTGGCAGCCAGTGACTGAAGCTGGAAGTCGTCTTCACTAACTTCCCCCAAAGCTTGTATTTGGTCAGGATAATTTTCCATCTACACAACCAAATATTTATTTTACCTCCTGGAATAATACATGTAATCATACGTATGTGAGGAATGCTAGGAGTTCGAAGCAAACCTACCAGGTAGTTAACTAGATGGGAGGAGCTGGTGAGGTGATCCAACAGGTCATTTTCGGTGGATCTTATGCGGCAGCAGTGGCATAAGAAACAACATGAGAAGCCATCTTCACTTCTAAAGTCAACCACACGGACGAGACCTGAGACAAACATAGGTTGGAGTTGTTTTTAACTAACTCGCTTAACATTTTAGGTTGGGAAAACAATTCAATTTGTAAATATGCACATGAAAATATGCTCACTTCATTTAGAACATACCATACAAAACTCTGAAGAGGAGAAGATTTGCTTCCATTCAAGTTGATTTTAGTTTTTTTGGGAGGTCAAGAGATGAATAATAAGTGACGAAGTTTAAATATATTGATCACAGGCACAAATGTCAATAATTTTGGACTTTTAAAGATGCTTTTGAGCTGTCTGTATTGGGTTTTGAATTTCTAAAGGATTTTCTCAATCCATTAATGTTCAAATGTATACCTGCACCCCTGTTAAAATCAGGCTAAATGTCTCTTAGCAAGTTGCTCATCAACTACATTCTTTTCACTGACTTCAGTAATAACAATAGAGTTTAAACATTCATATGTAATTACACTACAGTTGCACGACAAAAAGCCTGCAGTTCTTCAACAATATGTGCAAAGCTTGGAACATGAAGCCAGGAGGGGCTGTATGTATGTAAATTAAGCATTTTATTGTCATTTTAACCATCTGTGAGAAAGAAAATTGTGGATTCAGATATTTACACCTAATTCCAGTTCTTAAAAATACAAAAATAACAAATAATTATATTTGTAATAATATATTATTAAAAGACCTAACTGCATTTGATCTAAACCCATGACATGTGAACATAAACAACTGGCTGGTTGTGCACATTTCCATGTGCCAGAACTTCTTCTCAGCCTATATCAGCCTAGTCATATGACTGTGTACTGAAATCATGCTGCTATTTACACAAGGTTAGCTTTGTAATTACTGCTTTGTTGCGACAGCTAATCCGTGCTTACCAATGACAGGTTTGGCTCCAGGGAAATCCTCCAGAAACCCATTGCCGCTCTCCGATACCACAGAGTCCTCAGCCGACATCTGGACCTTCTCCAGCTGTGGGACTGATATGTTTTGTAAGGGTGTCTTCTCCTCAGTTTGTTGTGAGACTTGAACTAATTTCATGTCAACCCTGTCGGAGATCACTGGATGTTCCCACTGGTTGTTTGCAGGCAAAACGACCCTCCGAGACGCGACCGGATAATGCAAAGGTTTCGTTTCTGAAAAGCTCTCCAACTCAGCCTGCTCTTGTTTTAAGGTCTTCATCAGAGTCACTGCTGTGGTGTTGAAGAGAGAGAGAGATGTCTAGTTGACAATACATATACAATACATGTCAAGGTTTCCCCCAGAAAACTTGCTAAGTCCGATGCTTGGGGCTTAGCAAGGTGCTAAGAACGAGAAAATTAACAAAGTCCAAACCCTGTTCAAGAGAGAACAAAACACAGAGAGAGCATAGCAGTTGCACTGTTCAGAAGAGCTCTAAAGTAGACAGGGGAAGCACTTCTCCAGATACTCCATACTGCCCTTCAACACACAGACATGATGTCACCAACATCTCCAAGAAGCGTGTCAGATTAACACACAGAGAAAAATGCAACCTTCAGTTGAAAACCAGTTTCAGGCAGAGCACTCTGTGCCTAATAATAACCGCCCAGCCGACAGGTCTGGTCTGTCACCCCGTGAGGTATGATAACTATTTGCTATAACTATTTGCTTGTCGCCTGTTGCTAGGCTTCTAATGCACTAAGGCGAACAGTGAAGGCCAAAAGAGAAACAATAACTCTGTAAGCCTGAGTAAGGTATAATAAAATGATTAAACATTGTAAAATTAATACTGAATAAACTTCTGATAAAAGTAAACACACTGTGAATATTTTATCATCCACACAGTCATCCAGTGGTCTGCATTGTTTTTGGGTTAAAAAATCTTTGGAGTTGAAAATATCACTTGATTATGTGTTATTGGAAGACTGGAAGATTAATACCTAAACACCAACTATAAAGTCTTTAAAGAAATCATAAAAAAAAACTAAAACAGATAAACCATGCTTAGCCTGGTGGAGGCACAAGTAAAGCCTGGTGGCCCACCAAGGCCTGGGGGAAACCCTATATCTACAAGAATAACATAAAAGTGTAAATTCAGAAAAAAAAAAGACTAACCATGATTTTCACTCTGTGTCACCATCATCTGGTAAAGCTGATCTTGAACTTCAAACAACTTGATAAAAAAAGACAAGAAGATATGACCGCATCAGAACACATGCAGCTATAAACTAAAAGCAAACAGAGCAAAATAGCATACTTGAACATTTCCTGGTCCTTCTTTCTTCTCCAACACTTCAGCCAACTCCATTAAAGGCCAAGCCATCTTCGACAGGTCGGGGCTGCCCAGCCACTGAGACACTAAGTGGGGGTGACAGGCTTTCTGATGAGCAGAATATCGCATGTTAAACAACAACAACCCCGAGCAGATCACAAATACGCAACATGATGACAGGTATTTTCTCGACCTATATAAAAAGAACCACAGACAACGTCACTTGGCTTTCAACCAAGTTTTCTTGCAAGAGGCTGACCTCTGCCAGCCGATCACTGTGCAGAGATTGTCTTTTTATTAGCAGGGAAGGGAGTGAAAGGAATGTGGGAGAGGGATCTTTACAGCAAGGAGGGCCATCCTGATAGCAAGTAGGGGGGGGGGAACAGAAACTAAATATCTCAGGAAGATCTAAAGAAGATTAAGACACCATTTGCGAAAACATGCTCACGTTTCAGGCAACGGTTAGTTATGTCTCACACACAGTTTATCAAGTTCTTCTCTCATTTAAACTAAGCCTTTAAATGAAAAACAAACTATTAATCTAAAACTGCAAATGTGAGAGTGAAATCAAAACATAATCATTCGAACGCATGACGTTTCTTTAGCAGAACTTACAATGTAGTTGAATCTATGGTGACTCCCCATTATGTGGTTCCGCATATCCGCTTTGGTGAGTCTGCATGCACACACCTCACAGAGGTACAATGTCTCTCTGACCCGTGAAGTCACATTCACACACTCTATAATGGTGCCCAGGCCTAAATATGCACAAAACAGCAGAATTACAGAATGAGAAACAAGAAAAGGCCACATTTCAACAAACTTTGACGTGTTTCTGCAGACCTATGATGGGTTGTAGTCTGGCTTTGTTGTTCAGATACGCCTCCAGAGAGTTCAGCAGCTCGCTTTTGCCTGAAAGCATCAAAATAACATTTTTTCCAAAAACATTTTACACCGAAACTTATGTATAGAATATAAGTAATTGCATCCTTCAAGATTTTTTCTGTTTGTGCCTTTTCCATGTTTCAAATCATCAAACTCATTTTAATGACAAAAATAATTTAAAAGTATTTCATTTTAAGGGGACAAAAGCTATACAAACCAACCTGATCTTATGTGGAAATAATGAACCAATAACTGAGTTGCTTTTTGTAGCTTTTTTTTTTTTACACAAAATAAATTAAATCACTAGTTGAAAACTTAGTTTTTATATTTACTCTGATCTAACAATAAAAAGTACTTGATGGTGTGAAAAATGTGTGCGTCAAAAAAACAAAAACAGAATAAATGTGTTTTACAGAACTGTAGATGATGCAGCATGTCTTTTTGAACCCCACCTGGATCCATCCTTAAGGTTCAACGAAACACCACCTGTGTACGGAAGATTAGTTATTATATTTTTTAAAGCTCGTCTCAGAAGAATCAAAATAAAAATCCACCATGTATAGCACAACCTTATTGCATACGCATTATTTACTACCTGAATCAGATGGATGTGAAGATACAAAGATAACGTGGCATTATTATGCAGTGGGGATGCTTTTTTGGTCATAGTCGATTGAAGGAAGAATGGAACAACAAGCAGATCAATCTTTAAAAAAAAAACTTGTTGGGAGTTTGCAAAGGACATGAGCAACCAAAAACTCACAGCAGAAACTATAAAATACTGACTTTGAAGGGATGATTAAAAATACACCACATGTAAAACCCTGATTTGCTAAAAACAAAAAAAAAAATATTTTGAAAACCATGCTTCCTGTTTTGTCCACTTCAAATTATGCAATACTCTGTGCTGGCGTTTCATATAAAATTCCACAATTCTGAAACACAATGACATTTGTGGATGTACCAACATTTGAAAAACTTTACATTGAAGTCTAAAAGTAGAATAAAATAAAAAATAAAACAGACATAAAAAAAAAACTTTTGCATCTCTTCTAACATTGGATACATAAATTAACTCCTAATAGCTTAGCTGAAATATGATTCGGGCAGAAATGTGCTTAAATAAGTTTTTGTTTACTATGTCCATGTCTAAGCCAGGGTTCAGGTAGCTGTTGTTCCAAATGGAACCACGAGATGGCGCAGCAGTTCCAAACTTTAGCAACTGAAAACTGAAGACTCAACGAAAACGATGAATTAGCTTTTTTAATTTGCTCTCATTGACAACATTCTGAAGCAACTTTAAATCTAACAAACACACAGTTTCTGGTTTAACATAGCTTTTGGCCTCTCGTCATGAAATGTGGACCAACAACTCTCACAGAAACGACCTTAGTGGATGAGGAAACACTAAGTGTTTCCTCACTGACTCAATAAACATTCTCCTATGACACCCAGCGTGAACTGCAGCGTTTCTCCCGATCCTTGAGTTTTCTCAGTTATCCGTCGCTGTGAAAACGTCGAGCACCTTATAAAACAGCGATTTAAACTCACATTCACCAACAGGGCCAAAAAATAAAAATAAAAAACATTCCCCGAAGGAAGAGCAGGCGCGAGCAGTTTCAATAAAGCGACGGTAAAACTACGTTCAACAGCCATTTTTCAGTGTAGAACGTCCTAACCGTCCGGCTGACCCTCGGCTAACCCGGCTAGGTCCTCCTAACGTGTTTGAGCCGCTAGAGGGACGTTCCTGCTCTCACCTGGACCCGGAGCAGACCTGTCTCACAGCCTGGAGCTGCCGTGGAGGAACCTCGGGCCACGGGAAGTGGAGACAGCAATAACGCGCCGAAGGTTTAGCAACCAGAGTCTTTGGTGCAGCGCCAGGTTGTTCTGAGGAACGCCCCCATCAGGATGGCCCTCATGTGCTCCTGTGTGTTCCCGTGTTTCTAGCCTCCCGACAACTACTACGCTGTGAGGACCGACCGGGCCCTAAACAGGGGCCCCTGAAGAACCAGTTCTGTTTGTGGGTCAGGAGTTGGGTTCAGGTTTAGGGTAAAAGGTCACATTGTCAGAGTTGGTTAGTCACTACTTACACTGACTCTATTGCATTTACTTGAGTGACTTAAAAGAAAAAAAACAACAAAACTATTTTTATTATGTTGTACTTTTTACTTTTACCTGAGTAATTTCCTATTAAGTATTGCTGTTCTTACTTGAGTGAAATTTCTGCACTCTCTTCCCACTGTGAGTAATTTCTATATGAACAACAAACATGGTTCAGCCAAAACCTCACCAGACATAGACACACACCTGCAGTTTTTGGGGAAAGTTTCATGATATTTATTGAAACAAACTAATTTGGAAACTTTTTATTTTTTTTACTTAAATATGTTATAGTCATTTTCATCCTTGAAATACCCAAAACTTCCACTTCACTTTATATTTTTGGTCCATCTGATTATGTGAATTTTAAATATTATTTTGGATTATCATTTATTATTCAGTTTATCTTATGTTAATGTGGTGTCTGATCATACAGGACGACTTTTTGGAATGTTTGAGAGGAACAGTCAGGTCAAAGGTCAAAAGACATTTAGTTAAGCAAGTTTATCAACTTCAGAAGAATTAGCAGACAATCCCCAACCAAGACCCAAACAAGATTTAAATCTGGAACATAGGAATATGGTTTGGGTCATTTGTGTAAGCCAGAGCCCTCTAAGAGACTCTGTCCAGAGATTGTGGGGACTTCTTTATGATAGACCCAAGAAGGCTGCAGTTTGTAAAAAGTTTTCGCTGCTCAACCAAGGCCCAGCCTGCAAAGCTTTACTCCAGAAGCTTCACCACACCTGCACCTGATAAGAGTACAATATTGATTGATTGTTGAAAAGATAACTTTTGTCTCTGTAACCTTTTGATGACTAATGGAAAATACTGAATGTGTCTGTTTAGCTTCCTTTACTCAGTTCGTACATGCAGGCATGTGTTTGGCATGAAGTGCAAGATGGGGGCAAACGAGGTGACAGTGTGAAACTGCAGAGGATAGGAAGTGAAAAACCGCATTTCTCTGCTTTTCCGCTGATGGGTTCATTCCATGTTCATCTTGTCATACTTCTTTGCATCTAAGCAGGACACTTGATATTTCAGCAGCTGTGACCTTTGTGACACTTCAGCATTTGCAGACAATCACTTCCTGTGTTGTGGGTTGAATGCCTTTGTAGCAGATGTCTTTGGAGGTCTGCAAGATCTTTCTTTTGTAGACAGAGAATGTCCTTGGTCTTACAGATACGATAACGCAATGTATGTTCGTCTTGTGCAAGCAAAACTCCTTGAAACAAACATTTGTAGGCCATCTGTCTCTGATTTTGCCTTGAATGGCCCCCGTAATAATTTTCAAAAGAATGTCTTGATCTCTTATCAGAGTTATTGCAAGACCCTGTGGGAGCACAACATTCACAGCCAGTCACAACTTGGCCATGAGATGAAACATGGCCAAGTTGTTGATGCTGGCCTCCCTTTTCTCCTGTTGCCATGGTTAGGTATTGGATTATTTTCTCAGGGACTAAGGAGCCATTTTCACTTTCAAGTTTGTTTTGTGGTTAAACTGGAAAATTCCTGAAGAAATTTAACCAGTTCCTGTCAAAGTGTGCCCGTCGGTTTGGACCCAGCGTTCTGATGCTAAAAATTAGCATCAATGCTAAAGAAAGCTGCAATGTCATCAATAGCATGTGGAGAGTCACAAGCATGTTGACTGACATGGACTTGCACCATTCAGTATGTTGAAAGTAGTCTATTAGCCAAAGTGCTAATGTTAGCATGAATACTGTCAGTAATATGTGGGGCATCACTAGCATGTCGTCTGTAATTGACTTACTCCATTCAGTATACTAAACATGGCTAATAAGTAAGAGAAATAGCTAATACCTTATTTAAGGTAAAAGGCTAATGCTAACGCTCTGCCTAAGAAAAAGACAATCCAACTAGAGCTGTGCTCTAGCCTCAGAGCTATATGGAGGCTTTTATTTTGAAATTTTCAGTAAGCTTCACATTAAATGAAAACACTAATTCCATGAGTAACAGTGATTGGATGAAATCAGTTATATAATGCTCAAATAAGCAATAACTTGATGTAACAATTGCCAAGGCTTTTATTTTGAAATTTTCATTAAGCTTCACTTTAAATATCCAAACTAATCCAAAGTGTAACAGTGGTTTTGTTAAAAAAGTGACATAATGTTCAAGAGAGCAATTACCTGATATAAAAAAAAATGTCAGGGCTTTTATTTTTTAATTTTCAGTAAGCCTAATATTAAATTGCCAAACTAATCCCAAGTGTAAGAGTTATTGGGTTAAATCAGTTATATAATGCCCAAAAGAGCAATTACCTGATGTAAAAACTGAAATTGAGAATCACTGACCTCATGTGACATATAATGGGGTGTTAACACTAAATGCGTTTTGAGCGTCAGGTGTGTCTGGTTTGCATTCAGTCTATGTTGAGGCGCTTTGAGAGCCATCATTGCGGTGCGATTTGAACCGTTTGGCGCGTTTGACACATCTAGTGCATCCAACATCTAGTGCATCCAACACTCCACATAGACTTTGATGTGAATGCACCATTAGAACATCCAGCTTCAATGGCAACAATGGCATCAGCAGTGATGACATCACTCTTTGATGAATTTCTCTCTTGAGTGTAGCACACAGACTGTTTTTTCCAACCTCTTCCTGTTTCACTTATAAGTTATGAATCTTCTACAGGTGCATTGTTAAAATTATTTGAAGGCACACAATCATCCTAGTACAGGTTCACATTCTCAGGTTAGAGAGACTCGCCTGGTATAAAGTTAATTTTTCTAACACTCTCGCTGGACATTAATAAGGACACAATCTTCCAACTGAACGGAGATCTCTGCCCAGAGACATCTCGTTCTCTGTCTCCAGACCAGTTCTAAGGTGCTCCTCTGCATATTTTAATACATTGAGGGGTAGCTCAGTCACAAATCATTTGCATAGAAGGAGTGGCAAACATTTCAATCAGTTACAAGTCTTCTCAAACAATGCTGCCATCCTGTATTTATGCATCTGTTGTCCTCAGGCGTAGCTTCTCAAGGTACTGTCTTTGCATCTCCTGAGGTTATGTAAACACAGCTGTTTGTCGTCTCTCTGGACCATAAAACTTCAGCTCTCATGTCCTTTTGGGTCATAAAACAAGAGTTTCTCAGGACTCTTAGTCTCTGATGTTTTGCTCCTGCTAGGTGTCAACTGCTTCTCCCTGGCTGACATCTGTTGTCCATTTGCCCTCCTGTCAGGGCAGTTGTGACGCAGGCATTCTGCTCCTCCAGAGACAAAAGAAACATGCATCCCAAAACAAACAAAGCTCTCTGTCTCCTAACTGTACACTGGGGGAATCTATTCAAAAGAGGAAAGTTTAGGAATCACGTGTGGGACTGAAATTAAACTGGCAACATGTCTTTTTTTTTTTTTTTTTTTAAGCATCCAACCCAATAATCTCACAAAACGAGACTTAATAGCAGAATCAGCTGTTTTACCAATAATAGAGAGGATTTGGATTAGTTTTCATAGGAGCAACCTACATTCTTAACAAAAATGTATTCACAAATGTGAGAACCTTCAATTTGAAACAGGTTTTCCAACAATAAGATTTCTTTACAAGAAGAATTGAATAAATGACCAATTACAAATATCCTATCCACGCCAGGTAAACAAGTATAACTAAGTATATTTATTAATTTTTTAATAATTGTAGTTTATTTAATTGTGTAGTCACATCTTGCCAGACACTATAGATGGTTCATTTGAAGGATGAACATCTTTAGGCCAATAAAGGATAGCAAAGTTGTATTACCATGTTACAACAATGAAATAAAAACTTTAAAACTAAGATAATGCTAGTGGGGTCTGATAGACAATCATTAGCAAATCTGTATTCCAACTCACAGAACAAAAGACATTTAAACAATTAGGATACAGTTGGCCTTTTTTTTTTTTTAAACAAACATTTTTACTAAACTAACGTTCATAAACAGTTCCACAGCTAAAATCCATGCAATGTGGAATTGGATTAAAAACGAACCAAACAAGACCTTTTTATATTTTAACATTTTTCCCCCCCTCAAGTCCTGTGTATGTTAAACATGGAAAACATAACAGCTTGCAAACAAATCACTTCACAAAATTAACGTATGTAAAATTGTTTTACATTTTTCGGACAAAATGAAAGGCGGCAGAAAAAAACAAAACAAAACAAAAAAAAAAGCCCCCAAAAAAACGACAACTATAAATACAAGTCCAGAGAAGGCTGGCGGATGACATTCCCATCCTTGCTGTCCATGGGGCGTGTTGAAAGACCCTGGAGGTAGTTGAGATGTTAAGTGATATCTGAAAGGGAAAAGATTGAAGGGGTTCACCACCTGCTGTGGGTAGATAAAGCTTGAATAGAGGAACTGTTGACGTGAGCTTTCAGTGCTAAATGAAGCATCTGCCTGTTTTTGTCAGGAAGGACAACCAGATAGGATAACTTGTGGCCATTTGGCCACAGGCAGCTTGGACATGTGGATCACAGCCTGCTGAAGACACCACAGTGTAAGAGGGTCTTAGTGGTGGATCAACGTGGAAGCTGATTTGATTGTCTGTTAATGTCAATGTTAGCCTGTTCGGTGTAGCTGCACTGAAACATGTGCTTCATGGGGTCTGGCTGGTCAGCTCCAGGAGTGTTAAAGTGTAATGGACCAATCACAGTCCTGTCAGGTTTTGGGTCACATTTTGGCTCCAGTATTTGTTCGGAGTCAGGTTGGTAGAGGCACAACCAAATGGAAGTCTACTCTCATTTCTACAGATGTTTCGAACGCTGAAGAATTGATGGTCCTGTAGGTCGAAGAGGTCAGCAGTAGGAGCCAGAGCAGAGACAGGCTTGTTTTCAGTCACAGTGTGTGCAACGCTCCTCTGTGGGTTTTCAAAAGAGGAGACGATTTTAGGAGCAGAGTCCAGACCCAGTTCATTCTTACAAGCCAAATCAGATGTCGCCATCTTAGCCCCTCCTAACGAGTTTGTGGGTGGATTCTTCCTCACTGGATTTTGAATCAGGTGACATTTTGAGTCTCAGTTGTACGGCACGCTTCCAGAGTAATCAATCTTTGCATCCCAATTAGTTTGAGGCGTCGCCGCAGAACTGGTTGCACAGGCTTTAATGGTTTTAATATTATCCTTAGCCAACTTGGAGGTGATCCGCTTCAAATAAATAGTTTTGAAAACAAATCCTGATCCACAGTGGATTTAAGTTGCTTGGGTCCAGAGTCTTCATCTTTGATACCAAATGGAGAAGGGCCTGCAAGAAGGTTGACTGGAGGAGAAACTGAATTTGGAGAAGCGGGCTTGCTCTTGATCTTCTGCATGATGAGCATACGTTTAGCTGGCAGCGGGTCTGTCAATGGGCTGCTGGTTTGGTGCAGAGTTTTAATGGCTGGTCTTTTTTTAGTTGGACCACCGACTGACACGTTCAGTTTTGTTCCGATAGCTGTGCAAGCTGTTTCTTCTTTAACTAGTTTCGGACCGGAACCTTGAGGCAAAGCAAGAGCTGATGTCAACACTGGCTTCTGAAAAGGATCAGGTTTGGTATCTTTAGCCAACGCTGCTCTTCGATTAGGGACACAAGAGCCCACCAAATCAGTCTTTGATGAAGAACAGCTCATATCCACAGGACTGAAGTCCATTTTGGTCATTTCATCTGGTGTTCCAACATTGGACATTTCTTCTAAAACTGTGCTTTTTGTAATTTCTTCATCATCTGAAAAATAGGAAAAGAAAAATGTTTTTTTTTTTAAGACAGGGAAGTGTTGGGGGTGTTAGAAAATATTAGGGTGTGGGGCATTTTAGTCAATCTATGGAGTCGAAGCAGTCAGTGTGCTCCAGTGACAGGGGGTGCTACAGAATCAGTAAAACCTTAACAAGTGCATGCACCAGAAAACCCAAAAGTACTTGAACTGCAGACAAACTAGGGAAAACAGTTGTTCATATCTAATACAGATTAAAAAGCATCTCCTCCCCACCATACTCAATTACCTGTTTCACCAATCAATGCCAAAACTTTCTACCAACCGTTTGTCTGCTACTGGAGATAAGAACCAAAGCACACACACAAAAATATGCTCTCAAAACCCTACAGTGACATTCCAGGCTGCCATCGTGTCATTTTTTCTTTCCATTTCAATGAAGACTTAATACATGGTTTGAATCCTGGCTTGGGGTCTTTCTTCTGGAAGTTTGCATGTTCTCCTTGTGAATGAGTCGATTCCAGCTTCCTCCCACAGTCCCAAAATAAGACTGTTTGGTTAAATGGTCTCTCCAAACTGTCGTTATGTATGCATGTTTTTCCTGTGCATCTCTGTTGTCCTGTGATGACCTGGTGACCTGTATAGGGTGTACACCGCCTCTTGACTATTGACCGCTGGACATGGGCACCAATCCCCTGGAGCCCCACAAGGATAAGGAGGTGTAAAGCGGGTGTCCAAAGTACGGCCCAGGGGCCATCTGCAGCCCTCTGAGCAATTCTGACCGGCCTTTGGTCACAGTCCAGCCAGTTTTTTTTGTTTTTTTTAAATGAAGTTGGAAGTTTTCACTGATTGTGCAACATAAAGTAATCTCCTGGACTTTCAGTCAAAAAAGTCCAGAAGATTAAATTTACTGTATGCTTTTCAGATTCTTTAAAAAAAAAAAAAATGCCAAACCTTTTTTGTTTTAAATCAACAAATTACAGATCTACAAAAATCTGATGGCTCTGCACATTAGTGCGTTTATTTTTTATTTAGCAGATAAAAATAAAAACAGGATAGTGTATAGGACGGATAGAATTGCTCTTAGACCAACATTTCAAACTTTGTCCAACAATGAATCTTAACTGAATTCAATCAAAAAGCCTGAACAAACTTGCCAGGCTGATGTGATAAATCTTCAATTTGAGGTGGGTAGAGAAGTTGTATTGCAATCAGAAGTTTGCATGTTCAATTTCACTTTCTTCCCCTTATATGTCTTAAACAAGACAACAGTATTAATATTCATGAAACCGTTTGGTACAACAGACTCAAAAGCAGCCTTCAAAGTCATGCATGGCTCTTGCTTTGAGAAATAAGTTTTTTTTTTTAAAGGAAGTCATCTTTGAAGTCAGATTCCAGAAGGTAAATGATGTAGAGATGAAATGACCAGGCTAGCAAGTGATGCTAGCCTGAAGCGAAGAAAAATAAAAACGAGACTTACTCCACTGGCATGCAGCACTGAGTGGCAGATGAACGGTTGATTTCTCATCTTCATTAAGGATGCTCCGCATAATTTTTAAAGCTTAAAAAAATATAAATTTTTAAATATTATACAAACTGTGGTGTACAACCTGTTTGTTAAAGAAAGATTTTACCTTCACTGAATCGGGCCAACCTGACAAACTGATGCCATTTTTGATTAAGTATTACGCACTGAAAAAAAAAAAAGAAAAATGAAACCAGAAATGAGCTCATGTACATAATTTTAATGCCCATGTTTGATAAAATTATTAGTGGATAATTACCTTTGCATCAACTTTTTGGAAACCGTCACGCTGTGCCAGCCTCCAGATAACTTCTCGGAAAATGTTGATTTTCAAGGCTTGAGGCAAGTCTTCCTCCTGCCAGAATATCTTCAGAAACTCAGGATGCCTTTTCCACTGAAACAAAGTGGGGATAGTAAGTATTTGGCACAGCTATGATAAGTAAGCCTGTTCCACTCAAAGAGTGGAAAAATTAGAGGTTCCCCTGTCAGATTTATTCACCTAGGCATTCTGTAACAAATACAAATGACAGAAAAGAGACGAGTGGATTAAATCTTGTCAACACACAATCACAAGTCTATTCTAAACATTGGAATTTTCCTGTTACTATGCAGTTGTGGCCTTGAGGCAGTTCCCATGACCCTAAATCAACGACCTTTAACCTTTACTCTGTTAAGCCAGTTGTCACCTCGTCTCCAGGCAATCTGCTTCTAATTTGACATACTTCCTGCAGAAACAAAAGAAACACACATCCCGGGGGCAAACAAAGATCTCCCAGTTCTTTAAAGTAATACTGAGTATATATGAAAACAAGATATTTTAAAAATTTAACACCTCTTAAGATAACTGAAGCTGGGCTGTAGCTGGGTTTTTCAGAATGGCCATAACCTTAAACACACAGGCAGGTCAACTAAAGTGTGGGTCCATAAGAACAATGTCAAAGCCCTGAGTGTCCTCGCCAGGCTCCTGACCTGAACCCTGTAGAAAATCTTTGGAGACAAAACACTTGCAAAAAACCCAAAAGCTTTGGACAAAATCTCTTCTGCAACTACAAACTGCAGCACGCCACACTCCAGGTCAAGAACTACAGGAAACATCCAACATCTGTAATTGTAAACAAAGATTTCTGTACCAAACATTAAGTTCTATTTTTTCAAATACTTAGTTCATACAAAACAAATGCCAATTTAAAAATCATGTGATTCTCTGGATTTTGATTGTTCTGTCACAGTTGGTGTATTTATGATAAAACTTTAAAGAAAAAAAGTGAGGAAACTTGAATATTCATTCATAAAAATACTTCTCTCCCTCATCATAGAATACATGCAGACCTATGGGCATCCATTTAACCCAACACTCACCATGTATTTAAGTTGGTGATCTTGATTGGTCATATGTTGACAGATGTCACAGTTTGAAACAATTTCCTCACAGCTTTCACACAGATAGAAAGTGTCCAGACAAATCCCTCTGCACTCCCACAACAGCTCCATACCTGATAAGGAAAAACTATTCAGATGGGCTGCAAGTTTCTGTAAAATGGCAGGAAAACACCGACAGATGTGAGAGGTACTCACCAACAACCTGTTTAATGTCCACTTGTCTTGCATGCAAGAAAAAGACCAAATTACTGCAGCCTGGAGCTTTTCTCCCTGTAACAGCCAGCCATCACTACAAGTCGACTTGTAAATGACAAAAAAGTTCAACCTGAAAGCTGAATACTAACCAAAGCAAGTTATGGATGGTGGTAATTCAGCATGTCCTCTAGGTGGTCTGTCATGCTTTGGAGCTTCTCTCACTTTATGGCTCAGTCCAGGCCTTTTTATTTGCACCAGCTCTGCTTTTGTCTGGGGGCTGCAGATTTCAACTTTTGGTCGACAATTACCAGTTTGTGGTGAATCTTGTGAGGGTGACGGACTCTTTGAAAGTATTCTTTCTGGAGGGAACATGGAGTCCACTTTCACTCCTGCCAAATTCAAGTGAAGAAATTGGGCAATTGAAAGATTTACGGTCTTATCCCTTATCTAAGGAATGCACCAGCATGCCAATATTTAAAAGTGGATATCAGTAAATTAAGTAAATTTTTTACTGGAGCTACCAATAAGACTGAGCATCAATAGCTGCCATAAATGGATTCTGTTTAAAGATTTCTGAAATTGAAAGTATACATGCTGAGAGAAGTTGTAAAATGACAGTTTGCTTGGAGAAACCTGACAAAGTCAAACCAGAAGCATCTTTGGTTTTGCTGCTTGGAACATGATCTGGATCCATTTGGTTGCAACTTGCAGATATCTGGAGATGGTCCGGAGTCAAATTACCAGCTTTACAATCTTCACCTTGGACAAAATATTGACAGATCAATCCTAATCAAGTCGGAGCAAGCTACAATAAACAGTAATAAACAAATCTGAAAGAATTCTGTCTTCAAACGTGAAAAAAGTCATAAGCTCTTAAAATGTTTGTTTACAAGTTACCATCATTTGAGCTGGAAACTTCACATGGGCTTTGAGCTTCCTGTCGGGACGTTTGCGGAGTTTCAGCTACAGGGTCTCCAGGTTCTTGTCGCTCAATTGTTGTTAGTTTCTCAATAGCTGAGAATCAAGAGACAACAAGCCAGAAAGGCTGTTCTAAATATGCACACAACATTTTAATAAATAATTTCCCAGTTATTTATCTACTTTTAAGATTTTAAAATTAAAAAGTCATGCTATGATGCATTATTAAACTCTTAAATCAGCCATCTTAATTGAACCAAGTTTAAATTCTTCATCATTAAGTACATTTTGGGTATCAAGTAATTGTATCAGTGATATGAGAATTTTCTATGTTCTTTGATAAATTGTATGTTTCATGCTCATTTCATGACATTTGCAACACATTTTAAGAAGTTGAGTGCTGTATGTTGATTGAATCAAGGAATGCTCATCGCCTCTGGAGCCCATGGACAATGGGGGGGGTCAAGCCATGGACAACAGAAGACCGAGTACTGTATGCTAATTGATACAGGAGATTGAGTACTGTATGCTAATTGATCACGCTCTGAGCTCATGGTCCAGTCGTGGGCAGGAAAGTAGCATTCTGATTAGCTAACACGTCTGGAAGAGGGGAAATGGCCATTCCCTTCTTTCATTCCAGGTTGTTTTGGTAATGAGTATAAAAAGCAGAAAAGTCCCATTGTTCAGTAGAGTCGTTGTTCAGTAGAGTCTCTGCTGTGGGTTACGTATGGATGCCCAATTACGTGATGCTGTAGCTCCGCCCGGACTGTCGGCTCTCCGGTTCACTGTGTCACGGTAAGTGTTAGAAAAATGTATACAAGTTATCTCACTTTTTAGCTGTAACAACAGCAAAACCTGCAGAACATGTTATTTCCTCTTTTCTGTGTATTTGACCTTTCTGAGTATCTGAACTTTACATGAACCCCACACAGCATGTTCTTTCTTCTTTCCTGTCTAACATAGTTAACTACATCCTTATCTGTTGGAACATTTACGCTTAAGTGTGAAGAACTGTTTGCAAAACTAGTCTCGACCGGTTTTTTCCCCCACCCTTTAGCAGTCCAGACATCATGTAGTTAGGGCTTTCCTGTTTAATAAAAAGCCTGGCGAGCAGAAGCTGCTTCAGAGTGAGTTGGGTGATTGTAACTGAAGCAGTCTCTGAGCACTCTCCTTGCAAGAAAAAATAACAATTGTCTATGTCTCTGATTTTTTGCAGATAAAGCAAAGGTGATAGGGGTTTTAACCTATCAGTAAGAGCGGATTGAAAGAATCTAAGCATTACGTATTGTTTGTTGTGTGAATGAATTTACTGTAATCTGTGGCAGAATAAAAAGGACACATTTATTCTAGCAGAACAGCGTCTTGTCATCATCACCGATCACCCCCGATCCTGCTTAAAATTTCACAAAACAATCAGTTATTCCTACCCAAACTTTACTACAGACAAGCCAACGATTACTATAGACAATAACAGGAAATGTCAGGGTGCCAGTTAGTCAAAATGCACACACAAAAAAGGAGTATAGACTATGTGGCTTTCTGAAATTGAAATATTTAAAATATTTAAGATTTTACTACCTTCTTTTTCTGAAAGAACAGCAAGCTTGAGGTAGAACGCCTTCTTCACCTCTATTCTCTAGGCAATAAAGAAAGGAATGAAAAAAAATGCATTTAAAGTAGATTGAACAGGGTGTGCAAGTTAACAGACTACATAGAGTCCTAAAATTTTAAACACCCAACTGCTTGGAAGATATGTTTGTGCTGGAAACTACTTGCTGCATTGCCCAATCTAGCCTGTAATTAACCATCTACAATAATAAATTTTGTACAATTTGTTTTAAGAAAAACCCCTACAAAGGCAAAACTACATGCAGAAAGGCAAAGGTGTTCATTCTTACAACCACATCACATTTTTTGTAATCAGCTCACCAAATAGCAGCTTACACAACATTAATACAAAAAACACAATTTTTCCAAGTATGCAGACTTTTGGGAATGGGCTCCTACTTACATGGCTTCCCGCTTTAGGAGTGACTTATGGTCTCCAACCTGCACTCTTTGACAAATTCAGTTTCTGTGACGTGTCTAACCATTTACAAATGATTAGAAGCATTTTTAAATGGTTACGTAGATAAAAAACAGGAGGACTACAAAATTGTAGGACTTCACATGTACCAGAAACAATAGTAAATGTGCAAGAACTTGTCACCTGTGGCTGTGATCCTATGCTTTTCTCGATCTCAGCTAAATGGGCCACAATGTCTTTGAATTTGTTCTCGATCTCTGATAAATTTGCAGTCCATCCTGGATACTTCATTTTCTGGAGAAAAAGAAAAGCACAATAATAACACTGCATAATACCTGGGAAACCATATTAGTTGAAGTGCTAGGGCATCGGATGTATGGAGGGGTAAAATGTCATAGGTGAAGACTCAAAGTTTAGGTTAACCAACTTAACTTCAGTTCAGTCCCATCCTGCAACTTCCCATCCTGCAACTTTCAGATGAATCAAATGAAAGAATTTTCTTCAGCAGTCATTCACCTGGTAATGAACAGTTCATTTGACTCAGGTGTGTTAAAGAAGCATCTAAAAGTCACAAGCTTGTAGGTCTGGACTTGGGCACTCTAATCTAATGGATTAAAATGAATATTCTTGAAGTTTCAGGACTGTCGGGGCAGAAATAGGATATATTGGGATGTAAATTATGAAAACTCTGGAATTTTTCTTCGACAAGATTAACAACAAAAACTACAAAATCACATAAAGGAGGCTCCTGACATTATAACAAAATGTTAGGAGTAGAGAGGACTTTTATTGAGCCTAAGTGTCTTCAGTAGGGAAGATGGCCAAAAGAGTCAAAGGAATGGACAGAGCTTTGCTAACTGCTGGCCAGTTTGGCTTTCACCTCCTTGTTTTTCCTCCATTTAACCCTTTCATGCACAAATTATGATCCTTTATGTGAGGATTGTTTTCAAAAATAATTTTGACTGAATCGCTCTTACAATAAGATTAAGTTGTGTAGGAATGGTCAGGCTGAGATAGGAGCTCTGAGAATCTTAGGGCTTGGGTTTTTAATCAACTTCAATCTGTCTGGATGCAAACGTTCCCCTAGTCAGAAAGAACGTCGTTTCATTGGAAAGGTTCATCTTTTATCTCTGAAAGACCAACTCAGTGACTTACCACATAGTTCCAGCAGTGAGCGAAGCTGGTGGAGTGAGTGGATGTTCTCAGCCTGGCTGAACACAGCCGACAATAGACTTGCTGTTTTTCTTGACATGACACAATAATCAGCTGATTTAATCCTAACAAAAGATGCACGTTAATCAAAAGCAGTCTCACACAGATAAACTTAATCAAAAAAGTCAATACACACCGATTTTAGGAAGGGTTCTGCTTTCCGTCACTCTGCTGATGGGTAGGTTGGAGGGCTCTTTCAGTAGCTTCTCGTTTTCAGATACGGTCCTCAGTTGGGTAGAAAGTGGTACATTTCTCTGGTGGGGACGCACTTCAGCGTTTACTCCGGCCAACGCCGGCCCAGTCTTCGCAGAACTAGCTTTAACTGGTTGTACAGAGATGCTGGCAGTGGCTAAACGCGTCACCTCCGTCTTTGGTAATGCTTTGACGGCACTGGATTTAATTTCAACGCATCCAGAACCATTTGCAGTTGTAGAACTAGTTCTGATACCGAGGCACACTTTATGCAATACTTTGGATCCTGCTGCACAACCTGATGAAGGCTCTTTAGAAACTGTTCCACTGCTTTTTAAGACTCTGAACTTTGCTCCAGGTTTTGCAACTGCAGGGTTATGATTGGCAGTCCTGGGAATAGAGAGGCGTTCGTCAGTGAGGTGAGAGTGGTCTGTGTAAATCAGACTGCCAACCAAAACGTGGAAACTACTTACTTTTCTAGGCTAGAAACCTGGTTCTGGTTAGAGTTAGTCTGTGACACTTTCAAAGGCACCCTTCCATCTTCATTTAATGAAAACGAGATTTGAGTAGTTTTACGTTTTAACATCTTGGACATGTGTTGGATGCTCTAGATTGGTTTCAACCTGTTTTAAAGGGAAAATGGTTTCATTGAGGCATGCAGAGTTAAAATACAACAGGTTCCATGTTAATTTAGTCCTTCAATTTACAATCATGTTATCCTTTTGGAAGACAAACCATTTCTTAGACAAGGCCCTAAACAAAGGGGGGCAAACTCCAGTCCATTAGGGCTGATGTCCTACAGCTTTGACGTGTCCAAGTCCCACACTATTGACTCAAAGGACTGAATTTCCTCATGCATTCAGGTTGCATAGCCCTGGTAATGACCAATTATGTGCTTCAGGTGTGTTGACAGAGAAACTCATCTAAAAGCTTCAGAATGCAAGTCCTCAAGAACTGGAGTTTGACATATGTCCCCCCAACAACTACAAATCACTTTTTCCCTTAACCAAGTATTTCAATAGATTGTGGATAAAAATTCAAATTTCCCCCCACAGTCATTTTTACATATATAGAGAAAAATTACTAATTCCCATTTCTAGTCTGATTCTTGTTTACACATTGGCAAGCTGAAGAAAATATTTTGAGTAATACAAAACTACTATGCAAAGTAGTGATGACAGTCAATATTTGTGTAAATAAAGTAATAGAACTAAAATCATACCTGAACAATAAATGAATGAAAAAATGGAAATAAATGACGGACACTGAACGGGTTATAATTAAACTAAATCCAGAATAATCCAATTTATTTTTATTTTCTAAGCATGCCTAAACAACAAGACAGCTGAAATGTTCTTCAGTGAAAGGAATGAAACAAAGAATATGACAAGTGAAAAGATGTGAATCTACCCCGGGATGAGGCAAAGAGGCCGTTTTGAAGAGACAGGACAGAAATAGAGGGTTGGAGTTCAGAATGACTGAGATTTCTGAGAAAAATAAAGCAGATAGAAAAATCACAGCAGACAGGGCAAAGTCAGATTAGACCATAAGGCTTCAGAGCAAATACGAAGGCAAATCAGTCTAAAAACCAAGATATAAAAAATTTAAGTAAATTAGAGAAAGAGGGCGGGAAAGCTTTCATGAAGGATCATGACAGGTGTTCAGTCTATGAACAGTATTATGAAAGAAAGTGTGTTTAAAAAATTTTTTTTTTAAAACCAGTATTCAGGTGAATAAAAAGCTTGGACTGTTGCTCCACTGTCACTCAAATATCAATACAGCTTGAAATAGAGTACAACAAGAACTCGATTTGTGGGACATTGTCAAACAGGAATCTGAATTAATCAAACAGCACAAGATAGCAAACAATGGCCAAAGAGTCATAATACTTATAATTGTTAAACAAGATCTTACTCTTTGTGCATTGCCCTCATGTAATGCTAAACATAAAAATAAATAAAATTCTCACCTTCTCGCCGCATAGCTTCCAGTCAGCTCGGCCCCACAATTCAGTTCTGGAATTACACACAACAAAATCGGAAAACATAAAGGTAAAAAAAGAAAGTTGTTTCGTTATTATTTATTCTGTGAAAAAAACTAAAGGAGTTTAAAAGGAAAAACAGCCAGAAACTAGCTTAGCCAGGTGTGAAAGAAAGTCCTGATTATGCAGAAGTTCAAGTATAGACAGGAAGAGAAGCAAGAAAGAACTGCAATAAATAGACATGAGGAGATTGAGACACAGGTGAAACTAATTATGATTTCATCAGCATTCATGTAGCTAGCTGCAGGACAAGTTAGATTAGAGAGGTGTTGCTCACATACAAAAGTCAAAAACCAAACTATGGCTGCCAGGGTTGGGTTGTTCTATTATCACCCTTTTAAAGCTAAATGTAACTTTTACCCTTTTTTTGATAAAAGTCTCTCTATTAACAGGGGGTGGGAATGAGTTTAACACTGGGGCGGGGACACACCTGAGACCTGACAGACCTGTAATTACCTTGTGACGAAACAGTGACGTCAAGAAGGCCGCTTTTTTTTTTCCCTGCAACGAGTCATTAGATACTTCTCCGAGTCGCTGTGTTGCCATTTATTTTACTTTATGTCACTTACCTTAGTAAAAAATAAATAAATAAATATCGTTGCTGTCTTCTTGTGTATTATGTGTAATACCTGCGGAAACACCTGTGTCAACAATGGAGGGAGAAATGAAATGAAACATTTTGGCTAGTGGAGCTAACTTTTGGACAAAGTTTGGTCCAGCCATCCTAATCCCGGAGATTAGGATGGCTGGACCAAAAATGCTTAGTTTCTTTCTATATTATGACAGTAAGCTAACAACAAGACCTCACAGACGAGCTGTATTCGTGGCAGCAATCCGTACAGCCTCGTTCAAGAGCGTGAGTTTTCTCAGGTCGTTCAAAGCGGGAGCGCAGTGACGTAACGCTGTGTTGCGCCTTCAAAATAAAAGCACGCTGGTTGAAGGATTCAAAATCAATTGTTTATGATCACGGTATGAGATGTTTTTGATCACATACTGTATGAGACAGATTATTTTGTGAAAAATAAATAAATAAATAAAAATTGAAGCTTCTCTGCCTTTTCCCATTGGACCTGTTGTCATCTGAACTAACACACTGCATCCAATCAGAGCCAGGGGGAGAATCTTAGCACTGCCAATCATGCTAGTGTACATTCTGCTCACAACCAGATGCCACCCTACAGCTGGTTCATTACAACTTTCTCCTTTGGATTTCCCTTCAGCTATTTTATTTTTATCAGTAAATCACTTATGTTGCTTGTTCCAGCAATCTTCCTCTTCACCAAGATTACAACAATTGATCCAGGATAGGAGCAGGCTGGCGGACTTCACCAACCCTCGTCAACAAAGTTCGGCTTAACTTACCAAGAACTAAGCGAGTTCTGAAGAGGAGTCAAGTTAAACCAGGTTTGAAAATGAGGTACAATAGATCAACTGATGCTAATATATGTGTTAATACTACCTACTTGTAACTTATTTTAGGTAAACACACAAATAATGATGTCAATGAACATTACAGTTTATAAGAAGTCTACATCCTAAAGAAATAACTGAAAATACAAATAAACAAAAAAAAAACTGCATAAAAATATTTTTGTCCTTCTGCTGACATTTACAGCATGAAAATGTCTCACCCTAAGATGCCTAAAACATACATTTAGAATAAAAATGTAAAAGCAAACTGGTTTCCCAAACACTCCTAAAGACAGAACTGACTTTGTGGATGGTTGGCACAAAATATGTTGCATTGTGGAGTGTATCTGCATGATTAAGTCTTTAATTTTTGTTTAAAAATTAGCATCATAAGTAAATGTTAAGTAAAAACAAAAAAAAATATGAGCGAAATCTTTTTAGTTTACCCATAAATGTTGCAAAGAAACTGTTATTTATATTTCTTTTGTTTTTTCTTTTCTCAGCCCAGTTTCCCTAAATGTTGTTTTGATTAAAAAAAAAAAAAAAGAAGTGATTTTCCTGTAAACCTAAACCTGGTTGGGCCAACATTGGCAACAACAACTGCAGCTGGATTTTCTGAGACCTGGGGTTGACCTTGATTGCGTTACATTAACATTTTTCTCTGTGTTGGAGTACGGCTGCTCTGCGGGAACGGCTTGTATTTGTTTCACAGAGCTGTGTCCAATTGCTGCCCATACTTGGCATTTTAGTGATTAATAACATTGGTATGTGTTTGAAAATTTCTAACAAAGTCAATCTGATGTTGGCATACACAATCTTTGGCCAAACTAACACTGAATCTTTCCAAAGATTCCCAGAATTATGCAGCACCATATCTGCAGGATACCTGTAGGTCTATGAGACTGTTTCAAACAATAATTAATCTTTTAACATTTCCCAGATCTAAGTTATTCTTAGACAACGTGGACAAAATGATTTAATTAATTTTCTGTCTGGTAGGAACATGCTCTTATGCAAAAATATATATATATATATTCTTCAACAACATACATCCGCACCAAACTGGACTCTTTCCCTGCAGAGCTTCCTGTGTCCTACTGCAGAGGTTTTCTTGCAAATTTGAAATAAATTAGTTCAGCATTTCAGAAGTCCTTTGTCTGGCTTATCACATGCAATTCAAATTAGTTTGATGGTTTGAAACTTTCACATGCGACAAGCATACAAAAACATAAAAAATCACAGAGCATAAGTCACTTCTCCCCAGTCTCTGCTTGTGCTTAAGTTATGCGACCAGCTTGCTTGCTCAAATGATAAACATGGCAAATGAACGGAAACACAAGTTTGCAGAGAGCACTTTAACAAAATAGTTACAAAATAAACTGGTAGATTTCCTGTCAGCCCAAGGATTTCTAATAAATGTGCCTTTCAATGTAATAAAATGGGCTTATTTAAACAAATGTCTAAACAATAACAGCTGAATCAAATGGCTGGCTCTTTAGCAGGCCTCTGCAGAGCTGAGTCATTTGTAATTCAGTCATTTGATTTAGTTGTGTTGGAGAATGTTGAAGGAATATTCAATCTTTTTCTCTATCTTTTTTAGCCTACTTCTCAATCTGCTGACACACACACGCCACCATGTTTTTGTATGACTGTCGCCAGGCATAGATAAACAGACTGAAACTGATTAGATGAGCCATGGAGGGAACAGATTGCAGAAAAGAATAAAAAGCTAAACATGCGCTACAGTCTTTGCCTCACTTGGTTCCGTAAGGTGAACGAAGTGTGGCCCCAGTGCTGGATGGTGAATGTAACTCTGTATTTGTATGACTTGTATCGCTTGTAACGTGATCATTTTTTGGCATTAAAGATGTAACCAAATCTCATTATTTCTCAAGGTAATTTATATTTAGGGGTTCTTGTCAGGTCCTGAAACTGGTTAACAGACCTGGTGGAGCACAAAGACAAAAATGAATGGACTCCAACAACAGTGAACACATCTAAAAGGCCATGTGATTGGTCCGTTTGATGTCCACCATCCTTGGTCATCTATCTCTATAGAGTCTCCAAGATCCATGTCCTCATGATGGGGAGCACACAACACACAAGCAGTAAAATGACAATTAGTTTTACTACTAGAGTTAAACTTGTCTTGACTGCAAAGGCTCCCTATTCACCTAAAATGTCCTCCAGACCATTCCATTACCAGGTGTTCTTTCCTGCATTTTCTTTTTCTTCTGCTTTCAGTTTACTTTGTTTGATCATTACTGCTCTAAATGTGCCTTTTGGTGAGATATGCATAGGAATGTATGTGCAGCATCAATTTGCAAACATACAGCAAACATGTTGGCCAAAATCCAATCTAATGCTTGTCTGTTTTGTCTTCTGACTCTATTTGTGTCTCCTGTTTTATGGAGTTGTTATTATAAGGCCATAAATCCTTCAACAGTAAAGTTTATCTTTCTCTGTTGGTTGTAATAAACATAGTTAATCCAGTCAACATTTTTGTTATTGTAATCCAAAGTAAGATAGATTGGAATCCTGCAACAAGTTCATGTTGTGCTTTGACTTTTTCTGGAAGTCCTCTTGGTTGACCTATAAGATTCAAATATATTTCTGCATATAAGCTCCTGTAAATTCATGGATGGGTTTTACTTGATTATCCCGCCAAAGGCAGTGAATATGCCCACTCATGTTCCTACCACACTTTGAGTGTGGTAGGAACATCAGCACCATTCGCAAGTGAGCAGTCTTCATGACTGGAAATAAGTTTACAGCCATTTGTTAATTAGCTGATTGGACAGCAACGGTTTTAGTTGTTGTCTTTTTATATAATATTCAGTTTTTCTGAAACACCAAATTTATAAATTTAACAAGATTGTGAAGCAGCAGCAATATGTACTGATAATCTTCAATGTACTCAAGTTATGATCTGCAATCATGTAATGTAGGTTGTTGATGTGCTAAAAATAGAGACGTTAGCTCACTGAAGGGGACAGGATGGGTCTGTGAACCAAGACAAAAGAGGAACTAAGAGGTTGATCAGTGTTGATCACTGGCTCCTTCAGGAAGCAAATGGCAAACATGAAATTAAAAAGAGGAACTCAAACTGCTGAGAGTTTGAGCAGCTGTCAGTCAAGAGCAGGGACTGAAACTCCATCTAACTCAAGCTGGTTAAAGGTCAAATCCACCTCATTCTCCTGCTACAGGCTGCCGTTGGCTTGATTATGAGTAACAACAGCAGCAGAACTCGTAAAGTCTGCTGCAAAGCAGAGGAACAACTGGCTTTCCTTCCATGCACACCATCTTCTCTCACACACCAAGGTGCCCAGAGGCCCTGAATCAAAGCTAAGAGGATCCAAGGACTGCAGAACAGCAGAGAGCTGTCATGTGTATGAGGAAACTATCACAAAGACTGCAGTTCTAAATCTGACCTGTAACAATATGTAGGACTTTCGACACACTGCGGTCACTCCCTGGCCCAGAGCCAGTTCCAGTTGAACAGGTTTAATGCAGAGCCATGTAACCACAGAGTGGACAGGATGCAACCTCGTTCTCACTGAAAGGTCAGTTAACTGTTTAAATGATAAACATCTTCTTGTTCAAAATATGGGAGTTTCCAAAAATCAGGTTTGCTAATAGAACAATTTTGCAAACCAAAACCATCGTCGGACCTTTGTGACAATGAACTTGTGACATTCAATGGAGAAATTTGTTAAGATCTTATGGCTTACTATATTTACCTAAACTATATGTTATCTGTTAAACTCTGGCGCCTTAAGTTGGTACTTGTGGTGAAGTATTAGTCCACTCATCACTCTGCTGCAACTGCTGTAGGGTCAACAGGAAACCCATCCAACTGGTTCTGCAGATTCCCTGGCCTACATACTTTCCCAGACTTTAAATGAGTAAAGAATTTCATTCAATTGTTAAAAGAAATAACACTTTTTACTTCACACGAAGACTATATAATAATCATCACTTGGGAACAGGAGGAATGAGAGAATCCCACACCGTCCCTGCTGGACCTCACTCATCCTCACGGTTTTGCCTGCATGCATCAGGGTTGAGTTGTCATCCCAATTCCCTCAAATTCTTCCAATTAGCTCCATCAGTTTCAGAGTTCGGGAAAAACATTTAAATAGATTTTTGCATTAAAACCATTTCTTTCAATATTATTACCTGATTGCTGCTGCAGCTGCAACTGGCCCTTGCAAAATGCGCCGCCACAGCCGCTTCTCTCACATCAGCACCATGAAGACCACTGACAAAATACATAAAGTCATGCTCATCTTAATATGAGAGGTGGTGTGTGTATAGTTTAGACCTGGGTTGGTTGGATCCCTCTATAAATCCAGTGTGAACCTAATGCCTGGATTTAAAATCCACAAGTTTGTTTTCTGATTATGACATTCCTGTCCATTAAGAGCTCTTTCAGATTTTCAAGTCGTGCACAGTGCATGATGTAGTCCAAATAAACAATCAGACTAAAGTGTTTTTTAAAAAAGTAGACAGCATGCATTTTATTCAAATACACCAATGAAATAAAACATATTTGACATTGAACAGATGCATCAAACAAGAAACGTGTCCGTTTATAAAAAAAAAAAAATGCATGCAAAAAATACCGAGGTAGCTTAAAACTATCTTCAAGTCGTAAAACCTCTTCATAGTGAACTCACTTGTAGCCTTAGATCAGAAGATAAACACCCATTTATTTTAACAAGATAACACTGACTTCAAAACATAAAGTTAGATTTACATTAGACAGAAAAGAAAACACCAAACTGAGCTGAAGATATTAGTCAGCATAAAAAAAAAAAAAAAATTGGATAAAGTCATTGCTCACTTCCTGGCCTCCTGCAGCAGTAAAACATTTGCATATTGTTGTTCGTGCAAATGAAAGGCCTCTGCCCTGTTAAACTGTAACCGAATGAAGGCATGTTCATGGGGTTCACTACCGGCTGAAGGTAGCTCTGGCTCGGATACACATACTGCTGGTGAAAGCTAAAAGCATTGAGGGGAAGCGGGCTCTGTGTTGGAGCAGAACCTGGATGCAAACGTGGGAGATGAGCAGGCTGGATGTAAGGGCTGACGCCTTCTGGAGACGCCACGGTCTCAGTGTGGCTCGGTGTCGGCGGCTGTTGCCATCTGCTCACGTCAGTGCGAGTTTGGCCTTTAAAAGTCTGCTTAATGTGGGTGGACCTGGAAGTTATGATGGTATTAATGGGCAGCTGATTGATCCCAGTCTCATTGATGTCCTTAGGAACACCGATATGTAGCCTGTGTGGCTCTCTGAGGTCAGCAGTGGGAACTGTAGCATTTTCTTGAGGAACAACAAGTGAATGACTCATCTTCATGCCCTCTCTACTTTCAGCAGTATTTAAAGCTGGCTGATTGCAAGTCTTCATCATAGAGATTAGCTTCGAAGCAAATTTCCAGAAATCTTCATCCGTAGAGATTATATCTCTGAGTGAAGGAACACTCCTGACCAATTGGTCGAGACTCACAGAGCTTAAAGGAATCATATCAGTTACTGAGTTGTTCAGTTCAAGAGAACCAGAGTTTCGTCTGAGCTGAGAGACACCCAGATTGAATCCTGGCTGTAGAGGATCACCACTAAATGTGTTTAGATTGCGATTTGGGGGACCTGAAGGAACAACAAGGTTATGTTTTGAGAAAGGAGCATTCAGCTCTAGAGGACGAGGGCTTCCTTCAATTTGAGAGACACACGATGTGTAGTGTGGCTGGAGAGAACTGCTGCAGGGCTCCAGACTGACACCTACAACAGTGGAGCTTGAAGGAACAACAGGATCAACTTTTGAGTTCGGAGGATTCACTTCTAGAGGCCTTAGGTTTTGTGCACCAGCATTTGGGTCTGGAAGGAGCGCATGGTCAGTCTTTGAAGAGGAAGAGATTACGTCCGTCCTGGACGTTCTTCCACTTCCAACAGCATCAACACTTTCAGCCAGGGTTGGCTCTTCAGGCTGCGATTTACCTGGATTCTGATCAGCTGTAAACACATGATGCAAGACAAAAAAACATAAGAAAACAGAATAAGAAAAGAGAGCTAATAATTTACTAAAATTAAAATACATAGTTAACTTTTTTGCAACTACTTTTGTTGCAAAGATTTCCAAATCTACTATTGTGGCAATCAGTGCGGACTAATCATTCTACCGAATTATTAACACTTTCTCCACGTACGGTAAAAACTATCAATTATATCTGCATCCTATCATGACTATTGTTGATATGAAATTAAACATGGAGACATATCAGTTTTTACTAAAGAACATATTTAGCCTTTTATAGATTAGTCATTCTTACCCATTTCCCTTCTTTGGTCTTTTTTGAGTATTTGAGCCAACATGCTATTTGCATGAAGAGACTCCCGCATGCACTGTGGCTCTGCAGTCTGCTGTTCTGTAACACAGGAATAAAATGTTGAATTTAGAGTCTATTTGCTTAAAAGCGTAATTGTCAAGGCTAATTCATGCAGCTTTATAAGCGTTATGTGGTGCGTGTTAAAGTCAAGTTACGTGTAGTATCTTGCAAAATAATTTATATTACTTTATGTAACTGATGAATGCACTGGAAGATGGGAGGAGGCAAGAAATTTGGGATATTAAAAGCAAATGTTAAGCAGAGCGGTGCGACGTTATTTGACAAAGCATCTTTCACTGTGCATGCTAACCGTTCTTGTGACGCTCTCTCGTCTGGTGGTCAGCAGAGGCAGACGGATGGAAAGCTCTCAAGTCTTCATCTCTGAGGCTTTTCAACATTTCTAATGCTATAAAAAAGCATAGTGAAGGCACAGAAAACAGATTAGTACAAAACATGTTCCGTACAATCATGGCAGGTGTGGTGTGTTTGTATTCTTCTCCCTTTATTCTGACATCCTCAAATAAAACCCGGAGCAAACGATTGCCTTTCTGTGTGTGTTTTAAGCTCAGTATAAATAATGTTGTCCTCTGAGGTTTTATGAGAGAAGATTGGTGATCAAGAATCATGGAGGCCAAAATACACAACAGGGAGAAAGCTGGGAAGAGGTTTAAACCATGGTTGAAAGATGTCTACACATTTCTCCAGACAAACTGTGCGTTTTAGTTCTTTTCAGGTACAATTTACACAGAACACAAATTTCATCAACATTTACTAATTAATTTGACGGTTACCTTTGCCAAAAGGAGTTGCTTGGAGAACTTTATGCTCCTCAAGTGTCAGCCATATGCACTTGAAGAAAAAACACAAAGTCGGAGCTTTTTCGTTGTTATTTTTTTTTTCAAAGCGTCAAAGTGAAGAACACTTTGAAACGAAACTAGATAACAGAAATGCTCCGTTGACTCAACGTACCTTTAGTTCAACATTAAGAGCCTTCTCCCGCTTTGACAGTGCTTGGATAACATTCATTAAAATCTGATTTTTAAAGTCCAGAGGTAAGTCATCCTGCAGCCAAAACATGTCCAGGAACCTCTGGTCCTCCCTCCGCTGAAAAACACGGACATTATAAAAACGTACAAACATTTTTTCGAACAATTCCTGCATTTCATTTCCAATACACACCAAGTATTTGAGCTGGTGGCTGAGGCTGACCATATGCTGACAGATCTCTCGGGATGAGAGCATCTCTTCACAGGTTTGACACAGGAAGGTTTTCTGATATAAACTACGACACTCCAACACATACGCCCTGCCTGGTAAATGCAAACAGTTTAACGTGTTACGTGCTTCTACGAAGAGACGGGATGCTGAGGACACGCTGATAGAGGGACACTCACCAACAACTTTATTTTCCTGATTACTTGCCGTCAGGAAAATTTGCAAATCACTGGATTGTAGAAAACGTTTTCCTGTAAAAAAAAAAAAAAACACACATAACCTAAAAATCTGTGCACAAACGTCAAAGAGCAGTGGCAGTTTTTGATGCTCAGCACTTACCAGTCAAAGTAGTGGAGATTGCCTGTGAAGAACTGTGCTCTTCAGATCGTGAGTGAAGTATAGGAGCTGGTTTGGCTTTGTGGCTTGACTGGTTCTGCTGTCCTGCCACGACAAGTGTGACTTTTCTATGAGACCGACTGTCATCTTGCACCTTCAGCTGATTCAGCTGGGGAGTTTCTAAATTAAACATAAAAAACAATTTCCGTTCAACTGGAATTGTAAACTTTTGTCAGCTTTTTGAAGGACAACGTTGTCGAAAAGTTCATACCTGCGACGCCTTCGGTTTTATCGTCTGGAATGGGATTTGGTTTGATGTTCTTGTCAGTCATTGATTGTTGGTGCTCCTGAATCAGGTTTGGTGCTTCTAGATCTCTGCCACTTGTCCTCTGGTGTCTCTGTAACTCAGCTGGACAACGCCTTCCTGCACTTTTGAGGATCGTCCCTGGATGGGAGGCAAGAAGGACAAAATATTAAACGCCGCACAACAACATCTCGACTTCCAAGCTCGGCAAAGACAACAAATGTCATACTTTACAGCTGGTGCAACTAAAGCTTAAGGTACAAAATATGAACCAACTGCAATTGAAACCAACTGCTTCCAGATGAGTTGAATTCAGACAATTTTCTGATGCAAAAAGAGCAATTGAGGTTACACCGCTTTAAACAGGAACAGTTGTGACAAATAGCTTTTCAACTGGAGTATTTCAAATGAATGTTTGGCTGCTATTCCTCAACATAAAAATTGAAGGGGGTGAGTGCTCTTATTTTTCCTAAAAATGATTTCATTCAGGAAAAGCGGACAGGTCTTTGTTACTGTACAAGACTTAAATCAGACTCCATACATCTCTACTTTAGACAGAATAGAAAACCTCCAAAAAACACACCCAGCATACCTGCCGTATCGTCGGCTTGAGCACATTGATCTAAGACTTGTGGATCCTGCATGGTCTCGGCTACATCCTGGGTCTCTTTATCCACTTGCAAATATTCTTCATCCGAGCTCTTTTCGCTAAATGATCGACCTGAAGACAAAGCGTCTTCATCGACGCACTCCACTTCTGTGTACGAAGACATAAAAAGGTTGAAGACGACACTCCTTAGAATAAGCTGCATAATTACTCTCATTTGACATCTCACCCGACACTTGGTCCAGGCCTGGCCAGAGTTGATGGCCATCTGCAGAGTCTGACGTTTGATCGTGAAACGCTGGGATCCCTGAGGGTCAACATTCAGAGGAAGAGGTTTACTAATTATTGACCACTGTGCTGAATGTCACTCACACACATTAACCAACATCATAAATGTGAATGAATGGTGTACACGTGTCACTTGATAACTAGAGGTAAATTAGAGGAAGCTACGCCAAGCTAACATTAAAACTTACAATCACCTGAGCTCGAAACGTCGCAGGGACTGGAAATGCCCTGGGAAGGTTGCTCTGTGTTATCGACTGAGGGAGACGGTGAGGCCTTCAGGTTTCTTTGTTTCACCAGTGCTTTCACTTTTTCTATAGCTGAGAATCAAAAGGCACAAAAGCTTAAGTAGGAATACAAAATTGACACACAAAAAAAAGTCAGTTCTTATCCAAGAACAAACTTTTTTTTTCTGTGAATATTTTCCTCAATAACAAATTCTGTCTCAAACATTTGGTCAAATTAACAGTCTATCAAAATAAAGCAGGACAAACAGAAAGAAATAGTATGATTTTAGGAGATGCAGATTAAAATATTATACATTTACCCAAGTGGTCTGGGAGTTGTCCAAGTGTTTGGTACGCATCCTTTTTCACCTCCAATCTCTAGGAAAAGCAAATATCCACACAAACAACATGAGGCATATATAAAACTTTGAATCGTATATTTTTTGTGTACACAAGAATAATTGAATTCCTTCAGAACAAAAAAAAGAAGAGGAAAACATAAAGTGCAAATAGAAAATTATAAATTAATCAATAAATTGGCCTCTGACTCTTTAAGAAGCTCAACTGGAGGCTGCAGCTCCAAGGAGGAATTTTGTGGAAATAGGTGATTCACGGAATCCATTCAAACGTTTTTTTTGTTTGTTTGTTTTATTTTTAAATGAAATCAACATTATAACACAATGTAAATCTCATTCTCTGGTGCATTATTTTCCAAAAGTCACAAGAAGCCGATTTATCTCAACCTACCTGAACAATCTGAGTGTGAGGCAACTCTTTGTCAACATTTGCCAACTTATCGACGATGCGGTTTAACTCGTTTTCCATCTTCTCATTCCCAGACCATTCAGGATATTTCATTTTCTAGTGAAAGGAAATTTTAAAAAAAAATCAATGCATTGACTCTCCTCCTCCAAAGCTGCAGCTGTACTCGGATCACGATTTAACATTCACATACCACATATTTGTACTGGTGGACAGAGTTCGTCAGGTGGCTGGATGCACTCAGTCTGACTGAACACAACAGACAATAGACCTGCTGCTTTCGTTCACAGGACACCACAACCAGGTAGTTCTTTCCTGTCCAATGGCAAGAAGGTGTACATGTTTAAAAAGACTCCAATACATACAGGGGTGACATTTTATGCAAATTAAATGATGCTTACCAACTTTAGGAACATTTCCGCCAGGCGTCGTCTTGCTCGAAGCAACATGAGGCAGGTCTTTCCGTACCTTCTTGATTTCTTCTGGTTTCTGGTGAAGAGAGGCCGGCGGTTTCCTCTTGTGAGCAGCTGTTTCAGAGTCTGGGTTTCTCCCCGTCAATGTGTTTACAGATGATTTGGTATTTATGTTTATGCCTTGTGGTTTAGCCATTTCAGAAGTGGCAGATGATGTTTCCTTACTCTTAGGTGCTGCTGGATCTTTGGATTTGAGAGGATGTTCGGGTTTAAGCGTCGCCGCGGATCCTGTGTCAGAAGAGGACGCAGCGCTGCATGTTTCTTTAGATGGCGTTTTACTTTTTGGTGCCATGGACGCTGTTTGGGACTCTGGAGTGGATGTTTTTGAAGTGGTGGTTTTTATCTGTGTGTAAGGGCCTGCGGTGGATTTCAATGTGTTCGTTGGAGTGGTGGAAGGAACTGCTCTCGGTTTTTCAGATTTAGTAGATGTTAATGATTTCGTTTTGGTTGGAGAAATGTCTGCTTTACATTTTGTGTTAGTGCTTTGAGGACTTGAAGCAGCATCGTTCCTCTTGTCGTCGGGCTCTTCGTTACTTTTGGGAACAGGTGAAGTGTGGAAGTTCTCAGAGAGGGATGACTTCTGTTGATCTGTGTCGTTTGTGGGTTTTTTATCGGATGTGCCTGGCGCTGCGCCTCGCTCATTGGAGTAGCACACCGCCTTTAAGAAGAAAAAAAATAAAGATTTAGCAGCATGTTCAGTTTTCCTTTGTTAAAGTACAAATGAATAATGTTTCACAACATTATGTTGTGGCAGATCTGCAATTTTATCAAGGTAACAGAGAGGCATTACAGCAACAAATTAAAATATAATATATGTATAAACATATATAACCTTCTTATGATCCTCCTCCTTATCAGCTGCACTTGTGTTGATCACTTTTGTGCCACTTTCTTGTGACATTTTGGTGGACGACTCGTTGGAGGTGAGCAGCCGTCTTTTTGGGCTCATTTCGCATCCATTTCCACTGGTTTCGTCTCTTGTTTTTCTCTTGTTTTTTTGTTGTTGGGTTGCTTCTGGTTTGATGCTTGAGCTGCCTTCTGGTTTACTCAGAGCACTGTTATTCTCTTCTGTATTTTTGTGGCTCTCCACGACCGTCTCCTTCGGGTTTTCAGTCATAGTCTCTTCTGTGCTCAACTTCTCAGACAGGACCGTCTCTCCTTCATTTTTTAAATCCGTCAGACACACTTTTGGAGATCCTTCTTTTTCTGCAGCCTCTTTGGTTTCTCTCGACAGTGCCTCCATGCCACTACCTTGTTCTTCTTGATTCGGACCTTGTTCTTCTTGATTCGGACCTTTTTCTTCTTGATTCGGGCCTTTTTCTTCTTGATTCGGGCCTTTTTCTTTTTGATTCGGGCCTTTTTCTTTCGTGTCAGTGTCGGTGCATGTTTTCTGGTCTTCTGTCTTTTGCTGTTTATTAGTTTGTTTTGGAGGGATCCTGGAAACTGACAAATTCAGAGAATATAAAAAGGCACATTTAATTTCAACTACGAATACAACCATATAAATATAAGTCATGTGAGCAAAATTAAAGTATATAAATTTGCAGTTCAATTATAAGAAGACAAAGGGGAAAGATTTAAAGAACGGCATTCCAACATAGAAAATGAAAACAAGTGATGTAAAGTGATTCTTGCATAAAAAAGGTTATAGAATTATTATTGATAGACTGATTATGTTTGGTTATCACTCTTACATTAGTAGTTTTATATTATGAGTTTGTTTTTCATTTAAAGGTTTTATACCATAGTGTTCTCATCCTAGAGAGAAAGAACTTGATAAACTGCAAGTAAAGACAAAACTAGACTTTCCCTGAACCTTGAGCATTTTTTTTTTTGCAGTTGGTATACGTCTCATCTTCTTGGGATACTCCTTAGTTGTTGTAAAACTGTCTGTGTTTGTACTTTCTGTGTTTTGGCTTACCCAGTTTCCGCATTGGGTTTATTGGAGGCACAAGATCTTCATTATCTGTTCTCCACTTTGCATCTGTCAAGAACATCTTTGCTAGAAAAAAAATATATATATATAAATATATATATAAAAAAAAAGTTAATAAAACAATCTAGTTAAAGATACCAGGGTTGATATTTCTAAGAATCCAAAGGATCACCTTCTTGGTAACTGCAGGAATCCGGGACTGGTTCATCCAAGAAAATTTTCTTAGAGAGTAGAGAATATTAATACTTGAAAAAGGGCCAGAAATTGGATTTAAATTATGAAATACCTGCATGCATGACGGAGAGTGAAGCTTTGCTGCCTGCTTTGCCAAGTCCAGAAGCGTTTCAGCATCAACAGTGCAGGAAGTCAGTGAGCCCGGATGAAAACAGTCCTAAACACACACAAACATTACAGTATGGACTATGATCATTTTTGCTGTACATGTTGTCACACAGTCCCAACTCTATGACTCCACACAAGCTCACAAAAGTGGAGCTTTGACATCAGTGTCAGTATAACATCACATTTACATGACTCTGAACTCCCTGCTTTTGTCTTGTCTTCACAATGTTAACTTTCCACTTTAAAGTGTTTTCCACAAACAACCTGAAGACATCATACAGCAGCAGAAGTGAACATACAAACAAAACCAAACTGACCAGAAATGTGGACACGTGTTCCCGGCTGAAGACGTGAGCTTCAATTTCCTCCTTGTATACTCTCCTTTCACAGAGCAGACACAGGCATCCCACCTCCACCTGGTCCGGTGCCTCGGCCACGTCGTGCAGAGCGAGGAACTCTTGGCCTGTAAAACACATAAATACACTACGAGCGTTACTGTGGAATATTATGCATCTGGCTCAGAATCCACCTGATGATCCTAAATTATGCAGGCTTTGCCCGTTTTGCGATTTTTTTCCCTTATTTTTATTCGGTATGACGTCTCGATCCGACCACGTGACTGAAAAATCGAGCCTGATCACGTGGTTTCAGGCATAATCGGAATCGGCCCTTACATTCGAATCTGGGATTGGATGTACGCGAATATTCGTTCGATAGCGGTATCTGCCGTTTTGTAGTAGCACTTGTCTCAAAACGACACATGCGCGGCATTTTGCAGCAGCACTGCCGTAAAGCGAAGCAGATGGCTCTGCACTGTTGCCACCTTAGCAACGGCGTTGTTATATTTACTTAGCGCCTTTTTCCAGCTAAAAAAAATTACTAGCGACGTTTATTGTCTCCAAAATACATTCCCTGTTTACTGGAGACTTTGGAGGCAAAAGAGGAAAACAGCGAGCAGCTAATAAAGAGTTAGCATTAGCTGCTCGGGCGCAGCTGTCCCAGCAAAATACCAGCAGTTCATTATCACAGCCTAATTGTTCTGTTAAATGATAAAAGAAGAAGCGGATAAGAGGCGGATAAAATAAAAATGTGCTCTTTTTTACAAAGTTCTGCCAAACGGGGTACTCACCTAGCAGAGGAAACTGCTCGTTCTGTTTATTTTTGCGGTACGTCTTGCTCTGTGGAACTGAAAGGGCATTTTACAAAAATGTGTACATCAGCTTAGAACAGGAGGTGATTACGATTTATTTGCTTTTTTTAATTATTCTTTATTATGATACTCTACAAACCTTTATGCATAAAACCACAATATTGCACTTGAAGTCTGTGAAATACTGTAGTCACAAAAAAAACAGAAGATTTGTCAAATTTGGGTCATTTCACCCAACAAGCATGTTTGTTTGAAATTAAGGGAGCCACGTTTGAGTTTTTACCTTGTTGGTAATGAGAGTCAAGGCAATGAAATACTGAGTATGGAACGTCAAAAATCTGTAGGAATATTTGTGTTAAAAAAAGACACCCAGAGGAAGCAGTAAGTTGCTGATATAAACATGTTAAAGACTTGCGAGTCACCTTCAGGAAGATCCGGCCTCGATTTTGATCCTCCTTCCATGCCGTCCACCTCAGGGCCCTGATGTCCAGGTCGCCATCCCAGGCAAAGGGCAGCAGCCAGGGATTCTGATACAACTGAGAATATTAAACAAGCCAGTGGTTAAAATAAATGTTTTAACTGAAATGAACAGCTGCTGCATCCTACAATATGAGGTACACTGCTTTAGTTTTTCACCCCATCATAATAGAAACGGCATTATGTTTTCACTTTGTTTATATACGGTGTTTCGGCTGGATGTCCTCATTTTAGATTCAATTTTAAAGACATGTCATCTTAACAGTACAAGTCTTTACACGAGCTAATTTCCTAACCACGTGGAAATAACATTTTCTTAAAATACTGCAGACAATGGAAACAATAGTTTAACTGAAAACGCTTAAAAGAAAAAATCAGAAAATCAGGACTTAACGCTAAAGTGGAATCACAAGAAGGTGCAGAAAGAGGTACATAAAAAAAAAAAAAAAAAGAAGAAATTACAGAACTTTATCACAATAGAAGTTAACCTGAGTGCTTATGAGATGCTTTCGGGATTCAAAATGATTCCGGATGTCAGACTGACAAAAATATTCCTGACAGGCGACGCACAGATAAAATGGGTCATCTTTAGAAACCGAGGTGAGGCACGTCATAACCAGCGATGTTCCTGCAGCACAAAAATGCAAAAATAAATCAATTAAAAAAAGATAAATATTTTTTAACCATCACGTATTGCGTATAAACGTGCATGTGACCTTACCGACTGGTGGCATATTTTTCTTTAAAGACTCGTTGATGTACGTGTACAGGTCCACATAGAACTTTCCTATCAGGAGGGGGAAAGAAAAAAGAAACATTAGCAGATGGTTGAAGCTTGTAAAGCTCAATCTTTGGGTTTAGTTAAGAATGCAATTCCATTTTTAAAGTATTTTTACCATTTCTAAGTTTCAAGTGTCCTGCATGTTTTACATGTTTTTCCATTTCCTAAGAACCTGATTGAAGGCTTTCGAAGTAATTCGGCAATATTAGATATGGAGGATCAGAATTAAGACAAGTGATCCAGAGGACTGGCACAGTTTGTGCTGATGCACACACTGCTTTATAGCTGAGAAAAGCTATTTGCTTCTGTTAGAAAAATGTATATAAGTTATCTCACCTTTTAGCTGTAACGACGGCAAACCTACAGAACATGTTATTTCCTCTTTTCTGTGTGTCATAGTTAACCACATCCTTATCTGTTGGAACATTTCCATTCCTATTTTTATACACTTAAGTGTGAAGAACTGTTTGCAAAAATAGTCTCAACCGGTTTCTCCCCCACCCTTTAACGGTTGAGACATCATGTAGTTAGGGCGTTCCTGTTTAATAAAAAGCCTGGCGAGCGGAGCTGCTTCAGAGTGAGTTGGGTGATTGTAACTGAAGCAGTCTCTGAGCACTCTCCTTGCAAGAAGATAACAATTGCCTGTGTCTCTGTTTTACAGATAGTGTGAAAAATGTTAGGGGTCTAAACCTAACAGCTTCGTTTTTACTAATGCATTATTAACATGCATTTGCTCCTAGCCTATTTTCAGTGATTATAAATTACTTACATTTTCCACAAAATCACAAATCTGTATCCTTTTATCACAGGCAAAGGAGGAGCTAGAGGCCCCCTTGTGAAGCAGTCATGGACAAAAGCCAAGATAAAGAAACGGCTCACATACAGCAACACTCAAATGCTCTGATTTCTGAACAGACATGTTTGAATAAAGCATAACTATAAAAGAGAAACAGTTTCTCTATTTGTTGTTACTGTAGTACAGAATTGAGTACTGCCTTCACAACATTGAGCTTCATGCTCAGACCCCAAAACCGTTTTTATTAAATGTCATGTATGTGAGCTACCAAACAAAAGATTACGAGAAATGTAAAAAGGAAAAACTAGCTTTTTATTATTGAACATCGGACACATATTGTTAAAGCTTTGATTTAATAATATGTCGAGACTGTAAACGTACCTCGGTCATAAAAATGTCCTGTCCAATCTGTAGAAAGAACATCAATTAATAAAGCATTAATTAAACACAAAACACATATTTTATATTTGACTAAATTGAGCTTTTTACCTTGAGAAAGTTCCTGCATCATCTGTGGAAGATTAGAGTTTTTAGGCGACCGACCATAATAAATCCTGTTTGTTAAGAATTTTGGGGTAAGATAAAATGACTTACCCTTATGTGTTTGTCGTTTGTTAAATGCTCCAAATACCTGAACATGTTGGAGAAACGTTCACAGCAGTTCTTTTTTTTTAATAGAAAGAGATGCAGAAGAACAGGAAATGGGGACGGAAATGTCAGCGTTTGCTTCAAACTGTGATTTGATGACATTTAAAGTTGTGCATGAATCACAATTCATCACCTGGCAGTGGATCAAGCATCTGACCTCCTTAGTTGAAGGAGCAGTGACTGGATGATGATCTAAAAAGGGAAAATGGATTCAAATTTACAATTTTTAAAGCAAGAAACTATGGAAATAATTTAAACAACTTGTTAAAACATTGTTTGAAATGCAAAAGGATAAAATTAACTTGATAATTCACAATTCCACACACAGATTTGTGCATGCTGATATCACACATACCGATCTTATCACCTGGTTTGATGCTTATGGTTAAGCATCTCTTTGTGATGGATTCCAGGCTTTTCAAAGCTAAAAGACAGAATATATTATAAAACAAAAAACACAACATGTTTCTAAGCTTAATGGTAACAAAAAGCTGCCAGCAATTATGACAGAATCCTTCCTGGCAAATCTCTACTTTCAGGTTAATTTAATTTTTAAATAAAACTGCATTTAATGGTGATCAGAACTGTAAAACCTTACAAATTCTACTGCTGGAAATGATCTAAATGTTATGGCGTGTCAGATTTGCCTATTCAGCTTGTTAGCCAATGCAACTTTGTTCACATATGGCTAAACCAGACATCTTTAGTCTAATTAGGCTTAATCTCAGTATGAAATATGCACATGAACAACAAATTCTGGGCTAAACAACTGATAGAAAAAAAAATTTGATTTAGAATTTTTTGTGTAAAAACAAAAATCTAGAATTCTCCAAGGACTTTCAAACTGTGATTTATGGTTTAAAAATGACACACACAATGCATTGGGGCCCCTTTTTTGTTTTATGTGAATGGCAGTCTCCACATCCCTTTGCCTCAATGGGCTTTGACCCCTGAATAAAGTAAATCTGGTGAACCACAGATTTAAAATCCAACACTAACCTTCTGAATAGGAATCAAAATTCACCGACTTGAAGACATCGGGCTGCAGTTTCACTTGCTGGGCAGAATAAATTTTTACACCATTTTTGATGCATTCATGCTTTAATACTTTTTTTGTTTTCTACAGCACCTACCTGCACAGAAACATTTTCAGCTGCGTGAATTTTCTCAGCTTGCTTTGCACAATCAAGCAGGAAACTATTGCTGTCCGACTCGTTTGAGGTCACCGTTGAGGGATGCCATGCTTTCTGTGCAGGACAAACAGATTAGTGAGTAGTTCCCCTTATAAACTGATTTTGGTATGTTGTCATTTCTATACAATTATGTAATCAGTTGGCGTGATCCCACCCCTTCCCAAAGACAATCATGTGATTCTTCCACACAACTCAAGCACCTTTTTTTTTTTCAGTGTACTTTCATAATTTGTTTAGAAATGTGCTCCAAACCAAATATTAGGCCTTGTAACGTAATATGTTAACTTGAGTACATAGTCTGAGTTAGAGCAGGACAAAAGCAGTATATGTTTATTTACTTTGTAGCATAAATGTTTAGAACGCCTTTTGCTTTTCTGTGATTTTATTCCAAAGTTGAAAATCAGTGTAGAAATCGTTCCACCCACTTTTCCAAAGTTGGTTTAAATGGTTTTACTTTCCTAAAGAAATTAATCTATTTGGAAACTTGGAAATATTTTGCATTTACTCAGATTATTTCTTGGTTATATTTCTATTCTTTTCTTGAAACATTTAAGTGTCACAAAACACAAGCAAAAGAAACCTCGACTTACGAAATACAAATCTACGTGGTCAAAGCTCAGTAAATGTCCGATGATTGTGTGGCTGGCAATCACAAGCTGGCACAGTGTGCAGAGGTAGGACTTCTGCTCTGGCTCAAACGAAACACATTCAACAATGTGCTGCAGTCCTGCACAAGAAAAAGAAAAAAAAAATTGCAGCTCCACTAAAGGTTTCAATTTTAAAACCAGCTTGAAAACTATGAAACATTTATTTTCAATATGACTTATTTTAAAAGAAGATGCAACTGTCAACCCATAACTTAACATTTAAAATGGCATGTTTAGACATGTTTTTTTGTTGTACAAACCAAGAAGCGGATGCTGTCTGTTGTGGTTTCTGTGGTAATCTTGAAGAGTCACCCTGTTTTGGTGCATAGCTGGAAGGACGGCAAAATAAAATGAACAAACATGACTAAATAGTCACTCAACATCTTTGAAGGTCTGTTGATGAAAGGCGACGTTGTTTTGTTTCTTTGCATGAACCATTTCTCTTCCTATTTAACTAGTCATTGATTCACATTAAAAATGTCAATTTAACTGGCTGAGTAAGATTTGTTGTTGCAGACAAAAAGTAATTGTTTGGCTCCAAGGCTGGAACATTAACATCTTGGAAAACACCACACCCATTGAAGAAACACAAACTTATCCAACAATAGTGTCTCAACAGTTCATATTTCCTCTCTTAGATAATGAGAGCGGTGCACAAAAGCAGGATGCAATTTAATGATTTCAGTTATAAAACCTGTAAATTTATTCTATGCATGAAAGTCAAACAATATTTTATGTTTGCACTGATGACAAGCTGAGCTTTTATTGTAGAGGAATGAAATTATGCTAAAAGTTGATAATTAAGTTGTTCGGCTGTTTTGCACGAAGGTATGTTTTTATCAAAAGGAAATGCACCGAGTCAAATGTGCTGGGTCATTCTGACCAAGAAGTCAGGAAGGAATTCAGATTTGGAGAGCTGTGGAATAACAATCACTGAACTATTGTAAACATTCATCCAGCCAAATGTTGAAAGGTTCCAGCTTTGAACGATTCCAAGAAATTCAGCAAAGCGCGAGCCAAGAGATCTGCGTCAACCAAAGAAGGAACTGGACTGGTTGAGAATGCTGCGCACACACACACACGGACATAGCTGAGTATAACTATGCCCTGCTCTCAGTGATTATTGGGAGATTCTGTGAGAATGTGATTTGTGTAATGCAGGAATGCGCAGAACCCTCCAACGTTGGCCCAAATAAAGCAGACATAAACAGAGTCCAGTGTGATGATTTGTTTTTCTTATTAGCCACAATTCACTCCCCCCCCAAAAAAAGGCACCCAACGTGGAACCCGAACCTACAGCCCTGAGATGAAGAGTCTCATGCTCTACCGACTGAGCTAGCCGGTTAGCTGATATGTTTTCTTCATGCCGAGATGCCAAACAAGTTTTTTTTGTTTTTGTTTTAAATAAAAAAACATGAGTCTCCCAACATGGTTGTACGGTAGATTATATACTGGACGTCAATTCCCAGGCTCATGATTTGTGTTGAATAGAAATAATTTCTAGTGTCAAACAAAGTTGTCAGGTAAAGATGGGTAAATACAAAGCCGTTTTCAAAAGAGAATTTCCTAAGGAACCAGCCTGGTCCTGTGTGAAAAAGTAATCTCCCCTTACTAACTTAAGGGATGATTACTAATGTAATTGATTCATTACATTTTAGACTTGAGCGATTCAAGTCTAAATGGTTAAAAAATTCAAAATGGAGATTCTGAAGTGGTAAACAAAGTCCAGACTTAAATCTGAGAGATGTTTCACGACCTTAAATAGGCTGTTCATGCTTGAAAACTCTCCAACGTGGGCAGAAAAAATTTTACATAGGAGGAAATGAGCACAGTATTTTTCTGCCTTATTGCTTTGTAGTGGAAAAGGGCAAACTTTTATTTAACGTGCAATATGCAGGTGTTCGTGTCATTCCATGACACCAATGATGACATCTGGTGATTATCAGCCAACCTATGTTGTATCCGATAGAGTAAGAGTCTGAACTCAAGTAAGTTGGTGCAGATTTGCATTCTGCAAGACTCTGTACCCGTGTTTTCTTTAACTTAACAATATTTATTTTTTCAGATTATTGTTTAAAGCTTGTTAAGCCACAAAAGCAGCACAAAGCACACCATCATATCCAATATTTTTGAAATCTGGTACACATTTCAGAAAAGGCTCCAGCTGTTAAATGTGGTGCAGTCTTAGTTTAAAAAGCTTTGAATTATCATTTAGAAAACTGGATACTCACCTTCAAACCTCTTGAGAAGTTTGTCATTTTCACATAAGGTTTGCATCACTGGGAATAATCACAAGATTATAGTCATTATTCCATATAAAATAAATAAATAAATAAATGAACAAATCATAAAATAATACCTTCTGAGAAGGTTGATGACATGAGCTTCTTAATGAGCACTGGGGGTAAATGCAATAACTATAGAAGCAGATACAAAAAAATTACAAGATTATTGATGCTGAAAGCAGCCTACAAATGGCAAACAAATATCTGTTACGGACTCACTTGGTCAAAAGTAACAAAATAACCTTTAAATATGACCAAGCTTAATCTTAGAAGCTTTGAGAAACAGGGGAAGAAAATAAAATTAACAGCAATAAATATTTGAAACCATCCATCAGTAATTAGTTTATACAGTTATCTTCACTTTGTGAACTGAGTTACTGAAATAGATTAACTTTTCAATATTGCTGCCATTTATTAAGAACCACCTGTAGTTAATTGTGTATTTTTTTATTTTTATTTGAAAATATGTTTAGCTTTGCTGCTGTCATTTCCTGCTCCCCCTTTCTTTTTGTCTCCATGTCGTTGATCACAGCTTGTCACACCAACCGTTCCAGTTCTGTACGAGTTACTGTGTCCATGGTATAACTATATTCTAAATCATTTGATTAGTTTCTATTGCTTTTTTGACCATCCTCAAGAAATGGACAAAAAGGAATCCCTTAAAAATACTTCAAATGACAAACAGTGCTACAGAAAAGTAACATGGGATTAACCGCCAACGTAGAAAGAGATGCATTTCTTTAAAGATTGTCACCAACTTCACCTGCACCGTGGATTTAATGTTGATGAAAAACAGTAAGTTTAATTGCGTTATTTGACAGTACCATTTCTCATTTCGACAATTTACAGCGTCAGAATACCAACCCGCAAAGTTTGAAGCTCAGATTTTCTGCTTTCCCTTTTGAGCTTCCACCCCAGAAAGGTCGCCATGTCCATGTCGGGTTTCCAGGAGAAACTCAAATAATCTGGGTTGGTATATACCTTGAAATATATACATGTATATGAATGCAGACATGTATATATATGGTTAACAGCTCACTCTAGATTTTCATTTAAATAGTCATTTAAATATGTTTCATCCTTACAAAGTAGTGAAAGCAGTGGCTTTGTGAAAATGTGTGGGTTAAAATTGTGTCCATGGAGTATTTATCCTTACAAACATGGCAGAGGTAAAAACTTAAATCAGGAATTTGACTGAAACACAGAGTGATCAGAGACAGGCCTGAAAGAAAATAGAAATACAACAATTAACTCAAACCACAAATACACAAAACAGTGTGCAATCTGCAACCTGACAGGATGTAAACAGAGAAATAAAACTTGGGCTCATTTAGTGTTTCAAAGTAATAGCTGTGAAGTCAGGAGGTCATGACCTATGCACAACAAAATATTGTCAATGCTTTGCTCAAAGAAACTCTGCTTTACTCTGCAACAATAAACACTCACTAGGAATTTCATGACAAACAAGAAGAGAAAGAATAAAAATTCACAACAGGAGCAGCTGCTGCTCTCAAAAAACAATTCTAGGAAAAAATTATTCTTCCCCCTTATCATGTTATTCTGTTTTCACTTTTTATTACAGACCTAAGCACTTTAGATCAACTCCTTTTCAGATGAGACAAAAATCCGGAGTAAATACAATACGTAGTTTTCGGATTATGTTTTTTAATATTTTTAAGGGGGAGAAAAAAAACAAAAAATTGGTCCTATGAGAAAAGTATTCTATCACCCCATGAATTACCATGAATAACCATGTAATTTCTTCAATTTCCCACCAAAGGTGACAAATAATCCATTATTATTGGGGGTGTAAAGTTTTAGAGTATCAGGACATCCAGAGCAAACTGTACTGTGCTACACTAGTTCAATACTGCTTCAGTATTTTCCATCACACCATTGTTACAGTTCAATGTTTATTTAGTAAGATTCAGTTATCATAGCTGACTCGTCAAAATATAATATAGATAGCATTCTTATAGCTATTAAACTTTGTAGCAGCAAAAATATGTAAATATGTCCTGCAGAAAATGGAGAAACTGCAGCATACTCACCAACAGCCGATCCCTGAAAGTCAAATTTTTTGCGCTTTGGACCCATAAATACAACGTAGGGTATCCGGTCTTAAAAAGAAACATTACAGATTAACTTCTATGGACTAAACATAAAATTTCATTTTAAAATTAACAGTAAGAATGTTTTAATATACTCTTGATTTTTAGAAAAATTTTTATTTTTTAATTAAAGAGCAAATTTGAAAAAATAAATTAAAAAAATAGATGTGGTCAAAACTATGAAACGCATAAAAAAAAAGTACTTACAAGAGCAGTTTATGCGTTCTAAGACAGGAGGAACATTTTATAAAAAAAACAAAAGTCATTTTAATACACAAAGTATTCACAAAACATACACAAGCGACATTGTGAAAAGGACTAAACAGAGTGACTGTTACCTTTTTGGAAAACATCTTTAAGCATCTGGAAAACAGAAAAGATCAATTTAAATAAAAGACCATTCTCGACAGCTTGTCTTTTTCTGGCACTTTCAAATCTCAGTAAACTAGACATTTTTCTTCATTTCTGTTTAATATGCAACAAATTGAGCTCTCTACAGGGGAGTCAAGGATGGCTGTCTAATCTGGAACCATGGGTGAGGGCAGTTAGCTTCTCCCCCTTTCTGCAGTGCAAAGTTTTGCCCTCTCCTTAGTTTTGGGGCGCTGCCCTTTTGACCTACGGCTTCTGCAGTTGGGAATTGGCACTTTCTTCCTCTCCAGAATATTTTAGACTTTCTCAGCCCATGATTGTGGGGATTAGATGCTACACAACTTCTCAACTGCGCTGTTTAACTCCCTCTGTGACTCATTTCTCCTTTTCAGTCGCCATCTGGAATTACTCCCAAATTCACTCTTGCTCAATTTTCAAGTTCCTCTTTGTTGTTTTGCACTCTTCTTTCTTTCTGACCCTAACTGACTTGTACCTTTGACATCCTCACAGCACAGAACTAAGGTTGCAAAGTATTCAAACCTACATTGCAATTACATTTCATTCTTATACGATTAATTTAAAAATGACTTTAAGCAAAAATATAAGGATTAAGAAAGGTATGCCAATTACTATGCTCTCAATACTTTGTTTATGGTCCTTTTCCAACAAATTACTGCATCAACAGTCTTTTCTTTTAAACACACACCAAAACGAAATACTTAGAGAAAGATTAACTGCAACTCTCACCTGTTTATGTTTGTGTGAAGTCATATGTTTTTTAAAATGAAGCACCTCTTCAAATCTGTTGCAACAGATCTAAAAAAATAAATAAAATAGGAGCAGATGATGAAAAATTAGATTAGTCATGCAGTTATACAAAAGTGGTACATAAAAACGCAAATAAAAACTAAACAAGAACAAATTATATAACAATCAGGGTCAATGAAGAGGAAAGCGTAAACAAGTTGTGAACATTACAATTTGGAAAAAAGTGCCTTCTTTCTTTACAGTAGAGCAGGGGTGCTCAAGTCCAGTCCTCGAGAGCTACCGTCCTGCAACTTTTAGTTGCAGCCTTACTCCAGTAGACCAGGCTCAGCTATGAACAGGCCTGGTAACAAGTCATTCATCTGATTCAGCTGTGTTGGAGCAGGGATGCATCTGATAGTTACAGGATGGTAGCTCTCGAGGACTGGACTTGAGCACCCCTGCAGTAGAGTAATGATTAGGTTTGTACAGAACAGCGAGCAACTGCTCGGAAAAACATGAACTTGGAAATAAGTTTTACTGAAACATTGTTTCCAAACAGTTATGTGGCCTTGCTGAGATTCTGCAGGAAAACTATTAAGGATGCGTTTATAATAAGCTTTAATAGTAAAAAACTATTTAGAAAGGGACCATGTACAGATCAAACATAACTAACCATTGGATGCACTCTAATAGATTGTAGCATAAGCTAATTTGTATTTACAATCTCTTTGAATTGGGGAAACAAGAGGGAAATTATTTAAATTAGCATGTCAACGTTTTTGATCAAGCCACTTACAGTCGGCATAGGACTCCTTTCCTATAAAAACCCATGTCTGATCTCCTTTAGTTTCGATGAACAATGATGTATGCACATGAAAACTATCAATAACTATGCACACAGCATCTAACTTTACATAAAACAATGACCATATCGTACAATGGTCAGTGTTCTTTCTCCTTCTCCCTTCTTGCTGCGACACATACATGAGCTATGCCATGCCCGTGCGACCGAAACCCCGCGGTGTAGGAGTCATGATGTGGGATTTTTTGGTGTTTCTTTCAAACTCTGGACTGAAGCCGATTTGTTAACATCAGCTGGTTTAAACGCGCGAGGAATGATAGGCCGCCTGGCTTTACTTATCCACTCGCCAAGTTAAGTGTCAGTTCTTTAATTTAGACTTGTGTCCTGTACACCAGTAATAGTGATAACAAAGAGAGTCTATTGTTGATGCATTGAACTAGGCGAGAGGTCGGGAATGCGCACTAATCACACTGTCCGTGCCTCTGCACTCTGGCCGCCTCTTGCCCTCAGTGTGACCACTTAAGTAGGTGTCAAGTATGACAGCTAAAAATATCAAATAAAATTGCTCGGCTTTCGCAAGTTCACTGCACATCTTAAATATAATTTGATATGTCGACACATTTTCACAGGTTTGGGTGGCGCATGCAGTGAGAATGTGAGCGCATATCGTTGACAACAATGTGTGGTGTGTGCATTTTAAGGGTTAGTATTTCACTTAGAAGTAGTTCTTATGAGCTCAGTAGATGCACAGTTCCACCAGGTGTTTGCTAATTTCTCCTGACTAGTCTGGAGGAGCTGAGTGGGGTAGTGTTCTGTAACACTGAAGTTTGGAATCTGCAGCTTCCTCCCAAGCATGTTGCACAGGTGTATGGTTGCCGAGGAAAATTCAAAGATTTCTCAAAAATGCATAAAAAAAAAAATCAAAGCAAAACGCCAGGTATGTGTTCGATGAGAGAACAACCTGATATAAAGCTCAAAAAAGTTGATTTTACCTAACTAATACTGCCCCTTTATACCTCACACTTGCTTGCTCAATGAAAATTCTGGCAAAATTCCTTTAAACAAATACTTGTCCACTTTATGACATCAGACTTGTGGTTCACACTAAAATCGGTTAATCCCATTCATGCAGTATTCACACACTGATGATAGCAGGCTATGGATTGTAGCCACAGCTGACGTGGGGAAGCCTACTATATCATGCCATCAGCTCTTCTGCCCATCACCAGCAGGCATGGTAGGCGAGGTGTCTTGCCAAATGGCATAAGGCCATACATGGCTGGCTCAATCTAGCAATAAAAAAATAAACAAAACAAGTATCAGTGGACACATAATCAGCTCAAAGCATGGCAAAAGGACAAAAGGAAGGATGCAGAGTGCTGGTAAAATGCAAGGACACTATCCAAGCTTCCAAGCCCCTTTTTGTCCTTGTTTGATCTAGGTATGGCCTGGTTACCCGTTTCAATGCATACTGAGACATAAAAAAGTCCATTTCAAAATCACTAAAATGTAGAGTTCCTGTGGTATAATCTTTTTTTTTTTGTCTTACCAGAGATAAAGTGTAGGGCAATTCTCACCAGTCATGTGCGGCTGCACTATCATGACCCTCAAACCACGCATCCCTTATAACTACAAACTAAGTGAGTTCAGTGACGTTTTAATCCGTGTCTTCCTTATATTCTTCTGTCACACTCCACTCTTAATCTTTATCCAACATATCTTTTTGCGGTAGATACGTTAATGTATCTTTTTTTCTTTATATACCAGTACCATCATCATATAAACTAGGTTGATGGTTGAGGCATTGTGGACAAGAAAAATCCATGTGGAACAGATCAGAATGAAACTCTGGCAAATGGCAAAATCTTTCATTTCATCGTTTGCAAACGGCGAACACACAGCAACCACAGCAGCTGTACTTGCAATGAGTTCCGACTTGGAGCTGCAAGCCCTCACAATATATAAAACTCTTCACACAATGTGGTCACTCCCTGGCTCAGAGCCAGGTCCAGTTGAAGAGGTTTAATGCACGGTCACTCTTAACAGGGTAGGGAGAGTGCAACATCATCCTCACTGAAAGGTCAATTAATTGTTTAGATGATAAACATCTTCTTGCTCAAAGTAAGTGAGTTTCCAAAAATCAGGTTTGCTAATGGAACAATTTTGCATAACAAGAACATTGTCAGACCTTATACTTGCACTCAGCACATACTCTGAGGTTGCAACAATTAATAGAGGAATTTGTTAAACCTTAGGGTTTAGTTCATCTCACTATTATCTAAACTACCTATTCTTATCTGTTAAACACTGGCATCTTGCTTTGGTATTTGTGGTGAAGCATTAGTCCACTCATCAGTCTGCTGCGACTGCTGTCGGGAGAGGCCAGGAAATCTGACTAGTTCTTGGCCTACATATGGAGCCCATCTCCTCACACTGTAATGACCCCCAATATCCAACTGGCTGACAACCTTGACAGATTCTTGTGCATGTTTGAAAACCAGACACCTCCAACCCATTCGGCCACCAACAACTCTACCAATTATTCTCCCTCAGGTCCTCTACTTGCATCCAAGATCTCAGAAGAAAATGTAAATAAACTCTCTGCATCAAAAGTCCAGAAAAGCTACAGGAGCTGATGATGGTGCTCCCAACTCGGAACCACACTTCATTCTGCTTCACCTTGATCAACCCAGGATATACCAGAATCTAACCAAATCAATTTCAGCTTGGTCTTAAATTGAATACCTCCAACCCAGGTATCCTCCACCAGAAGCTGAACCATCTCATAGTAGCAGCTTCTTACCATCACTGGGTCACAAGCTTCCTAACTGGCCACCAACAGACGGCTTGTAGCTTCTTGTTTGCTACTGGAGAAACCTACACTCAGCAAACTCCTGAGTTTCACCACTGTCACTTCTCTGATCAAGAACAACCTGAATGTAGACAGGTCAATCCACCTTCTGTGGATTGACAGGTCCACTGTTCCACTCAGAAGCACCTGGACATTGACTTGCTCAAGTATAGTAATGACTGTGGAATTCCAGAGAACACTTTTCTTTTGTCCACCATGAACTTATGGTTCTTAGGAAATATCCTTTTCACTTGACATGAGCTGTTATTCATTGTTCGGAGGAAGGTTCAGATTGTACTTCTTGTGGCAACTAAGGGGCAAATTTGCGATGGCACCTGTTGTCATCTACATAACCATTATTCCATCCATCCAAAGCACAGCCATTGTAGTGTCTACAATGGATAAGGATTATACATCATAGTCTACAATGAAGTATAATGAAGAGTCAGATCTGCAGAGACAATCAGTACCGTCATCCCTCCATCCAGAATTAATAGGGGTCAAGGACAGGCAACATATCTGCAGATGCAACACATGCTTGACTCGAACATGTTTAGACTTTTCAAGTCTCAACTCTTCATGTTAGGGCTACAAAGCATCATTTCCAAAAATGTTTTTTTGCAAAGCATTTTTGGTTTACAGCAGTGCTTCTCAAATAGTGGGGCGCGGTGCGATACTTGGGGGGGCGCGTGTGATCCTGGGGAACAGGCTTTTTTTTTGGCCGTACTAGTATAAAGTGTAATTGCGCACAGTAGGCAGCAGTGGCGCTCTCATTGTTACTTCTGTCACGTTTGCGACAGTGCAACATTTTACGACTTACAAGACAACAGGTTTGCCTTGGTTACCAGTGTTAAGTCAACAAAAAGCTCTGACTGCGTTCTGTCTATGGCCTCCGTTATTCAACAACCCCCAACATGAAAAGTTTTTCACAGGGATGAAAAGAAAAGAGAGACAAAGATAATGAGACAACAGAAAGTCAACCGAAAGCTAAGAAGAGAAAATACGACGAATCGTATTTAGCGCTTGGCTTCACTGTGACTACAGTTGGAGAAGAGGAAAGACCGCTGTGTTTGCTGTGTCTAAAAATGCTCGCAGCGGACAGCATGAAGCCAAATAAATTAGCGCGTCACTTAAATATGTTACATCTCAATCACGCCGATAAGCCGTTAGAGTTTTTTCAGCGAAAACGTGCTGAATATTGCCAAGTCATCCCGCTTTGTGAAGGCTACTTCAGTAAACCATCGAGCGCTGCTAGCATCATATAAGGTGGCGTACCAAATTGCGCAGTGCAAAAAGCCCCACACCATAGCAGAGGAGCTGATACTGCCTGCAGCAGTAGACATGGATTTATTTTTAATTTCGGGCATTGATGCACTTAAAATCTTTTCTGTTGCAGACTTAAAACACAATTTAATA